TGAGACTGACATGTTTATTTTGTACACACGGCTGCTTTTAAAACCCACTTCCTTACTGCAGTCTCCTATTAAGAGCAGGTTGGCTGGCCCCCACCACACAGCTTCAGAATCGGGAAAACAGGGAGCAGTGTTCAGCTGGAGCACAGCAGGCAAGGAGAAGCGTGGAGATGCCATGGCCAAACCCTCTGTCCCAGAGGCGCAGCCTCACAGTCATCAGCTTGAAAGCCTCACCTTTTCTTTATGGATTGTTGTTTTTAGGAACTTACCTTTTCTTCCAAGTAACAATTTGTCCCTCGAACTCCTGGTGTGTTAGTTGGCTCTGAGAAGGAAGAAAATGAAATGTTTAGAAGTGGAGGGAACATTTTGTTAATTGGTAGCAGCATGCATGCCCCAGAGCTGGCATGTATCCTGCTGCCCATAAGCTTCATTAACTTTTGATAAAAGAACAGTTAATTTTTCAGACTACTTTTTAAAGAGCATTTCATTGTTTAAGAAATTAGATTATGGTTTTCTTCCACTTCTAGTTGTAGCTTAACTTGTGCTTTATTTAATGATGTTTAGCCTTGCTCTTTCCTCTCTGTATTTTTATGTGGAATTTGTAGGGATGAGGGAGTGCCCTTAATTGGGTTGAGTCTCGGTGCTTCAAGAGATTTGTTCCTTTTGCAGAGCCATAGCACCATAAATGTCAGCGTTCCCCTTGACTGGAGCGGGAAACCCATCTGCCAGCGCTTCTCCCTTGGTTCTGAGTGGTGAGAGGTGTGCTTGTGGCTGCAGCAGCTGTGGGCCCTGTCAGGGCCCTGCCTTCAGCCCTGCATCCCACGGCAGGCTCATCCCCAGCCGCCAGCCTGCCGTGCGTCATTGACACGGATCTGCTTGTTGCTGAAGCTGCCAACGAGGGCGGTGATTGATGGGAATTGTCTTGTGAGTGATGGGAACATTTGTCTGGGTCTTAGCTGGTAGCAGTGACGCCTGGCAGAGGGGAGGAGAGGGGTGAAGCAGCCACCTGGCTCCTTCAGACACTGCTTGGCATGAGCAATGGGCTGTCGTCCTCCTCGAGGTGCATTGCAGCCCTCTGCCAAGCCCAGAGCACTGACCCCAGCAGCATTTCTCCTGTCCCAGTGGGACAGGGACCCCGCTGAGTGTGCTGTGCTAATGGACGTGGAGGGTGCTGGTGCCTGCCGTGATCCGTCTGCTCCTAAACAGTGCCATTAGAGGACTGGTAAGAAAGCATTAGCAAAAGGATCAGGAATCCTAGAATCACTGAATGGCCTGGGTTGAAAAGGAGCACAGCGCTCATCCAGTTCCAACCCCCTGCTGTGTGCAGGGTCACCAACCAGCAGCCCAGGCTGCCCAGAGCCACATCCAGCCTGGCCTTGAATGTCTGCAGGGATGGGGCATCCACAGCCTCCTTGGGCAACCTGTGCCAGTGCATCACCACCCCCGAGTGAAAAACTTCCTCCTATATCCAACCTAAACATCCCCTGCCTCAGTTTAAAACCATTCCCCTTGTCCTATCACTACTCACCCTTGTAAACAGCCATTCCCCCTCCTGTTTATATGTTCCCTTCAAGTACTGGAAGGAATCCCAAGCCATGTTTTATGGAGAAAATAGTTACACACCTGCTTGGGCACTATTATTATGCAGCTCCTAAGAAGTGCCTGTGCTGTGTAAGGGCGCAGGACTTGTGGCCCTGATTCCAGGGCTGGATAACCTGCGGGGTCGGTTGGAGCGTGGGCAGGTGTTTACATCCTGGTGAGTGATTGAACCTCATCCTTTGTGCACTGCTGATCTTCTGATGGAGTCATCTTGGGATTTCAACAAAAAGGAGGGCTCACATCAGCCAAGTCATCTTTCGAGGGAGGGAGGATAATAGCCAGCTGGGAAATGCAGGACAGGAGGAACCAACTCAGACTGTTTTGTTTTGTTTAAGCACTCCTTCACTCTGGAAAAAAGGCGTCCAAGCATCTGACACAAACTCCACACAGTTCTTCCACCAGCCCCCAGCCCTGGCACTCCCTGCACGGTCCCTCTGCAAGGAGCACTGAGGGGATTTCCTACTTCCACCCGCGCCTGGTGAGGAAGCCTTGAATTTCCTGAAACTGGAGCACGAGGTGCTTTCCCCAGGCTTTTCCAGGAGACTTTTACCTTTTATGTTATCTCTGTCGCTGGAGGCATTTAAATTCAATGAATACGTTCGGAAGAAAATCCTTCAGAAGTGCCAGGCCTCTCCTCTCTCTCACTTTGGAGGACAGACCCAGGTTTACTCAAGGGCTACGCATCTGATGGGGAAGTAGCAGGTCTTTAAGATGGCAGTGCCTTCGTGTACCTCCCTACACAGGTGTATGTGATGGCAGCACTGCCCTGCGCTATCACAGAGGGGCAAGGAAATTCCATTCTGTTCCACTTGGGCTCACTGTCCAAGTTACATCCCTTCGCATGCTCTGCCTACCTTGAACTTGGCCAGAAGTGTCAGCTCAGCTCAGATAATTAAGCTGGGAAATGAGATTTCCTTTGAGCAAATATACAGCTGTGAAATAAGTAAGGAGCTTAGGAGTGCTCCAGACCTGTGGATTCTCATTTAAATATTTGTGCCTGGAAATGACTCATGTCTCTGGGTAGACATCTTGCCTTCGCTCTTGCAGGAAGCTTCTCACCATTTGTCTTTTTTTAAACATCACTGGTTTTAGCTTTACAAAAGCTTGTTCATAAGAAGCAAGTCCTTGGGCAGAGGCATGCGAGCATTCCCAAACCTCTTCTGACTCTCTGATGTTTTCCAGTCGACCCCTGAGTGCTGCCCTTGGAGCCTGGCCGCGTGCACCTCCAGCAGCACAGCTCACAGCTGCACTCTGCTGCATGTCTGCTGGGCCATGGAGGATGCTGCCAGCCCGGGACGCGGCAGCAACTTGTCACCCTGTTAATCACCACCCGTTAGTGCCTGGCAGCGGCGTGCAGGGGCTGCTTGTGCTGCTTCACCTTGTGCCTTGGCTCCAGCCCTGCTGCTGCCAGCTACTCCTGATGCCGAGTGCCAGCCCTGGCTGCTTTACAGCTTCTGTTCTTGCTGTAGTAAGCACGCTCGGTGACTTGGACGTCTGGAATGATTCCTCTGCTCTAAGTGCTTCAAATGAAAGAAAAAAAACCAGCAGCTTGTTGTACATAGTGCCTCTTCAGGGTTTTGCTCACGTGCAGGGCAGCTATTCTTCAGGTACGGATTTTCTCATCAAATACAAAGCTGAATTTTCATTTGCTTCAGATCATTCCTTTAAAGACCTTCAAGATAGTATTGTTTCCCCCTTCCCTCCACCAAATATGCCATGCCTCTTGGAGCATCGTTTGGCACCATTCTTGGGGTTTGGTACCGGAGGAGGAATGCCACCAGAACCCAGACCAACTTGCTGCTGGCCATGTCTGCTTTCCTCTGGGGCTGGCAGGGAGCCCTGCAGAGTGCTCCTAAGCCCCACAGAGCTCCCATGCCTGATCTGCAGCCGCAGGGCCCTGTGCTTGGCCCCGTGCACTCGGGCTTCCCCTGCTGCCAACACCTGTGCTGGGTGTGAAGGTCAGGGCTATTAGTTTGGAGCTTGGATGCGGTCCAGTCACACGTGGTGCAGTTTCTGCAGGCTGATTCGGTGTTAAGGCCTGCCTTCCGCCAGCAATATCTTGTTTGAGGGAGAAAATGGGACTTCTGTAAGCTTTTAATCATGACTGACTTCAAAGGTAATTGATTTTTCGAGATAACCATAGAGTTGTTTGAGTTGGAAGGGACCTATGAAGGCCACCTAGTCCACCTCCCCTGCAGTGAGTAGAGACATCTACAGCTAGATCAGATTGCTGTATATATTGCAAAGGACTGGACAGAGGAAGAAGTGGTGATTTCAGGAGCACTGCTTGCATTTACCGTGCTGAGAAGTGCCAAACCCCAGCCTGCTGGGGCAGTGATGACACAGTTCCTGTGGCAGACGGTGTGCAGGTGGTGGTTCTGTTGAGGAGGGCCAATAGCCCGAACCGTTCTCTTTTAAAATGTTCATCCTTTATGGTAGTGCCTTTGAAAAACCTTGAGGCAAGTGTCTGGTTGCAAGGCAAATAATGCTTTCCTGGTATCTCAGAGTGTCTTGTTTCTATAGGTGTTGTTTCTGTGCTGCCACAACTGCGAGTTGGTTGGACGCCTTTGCTCCCTGCAGCACGAATGTTGTGCTGTGTGCTAATGCCTGCAGGACCAGGACGTGGTGGTGGTGCCTGCTGGTGGAATAAAGGCAGAAAGAGCCTGCAGCTGGCCTCTGTGCAAAGCACTCGTCCCATCCCTAGTGAATGCTGGAGTCTGCTGCAAGCTTGCATTTACATAACTGGGCTTGGAGCTCCTGTGTCACATCTTTCTGATTCTGCATCATCAGCACTTGTGCCCGCAGTGCTGCTTTCAATGCCCTTCCCCTGATCTTTATGTGATTCTGCAGTCTTCTTGCAACAAAAGTCCTGCAAATCACACGCCAGGAAAGCAACCAGGAGAACTCGTGTAAAAGTGGCTGTTTTCTCAGGGAAAGTGCTGTCTCTAAGCAGAACAACTTGCTGGTTGATGTTAATTCAACACACAAATCTTGAGCTGAACTAGCATATAATGTAGCTTCTGTCTTGCACTGAGGTTTGTTGGCAGCTGAAGTTTGGTTTACAAGCAGCAGTGCAACTGTAGTGTTTGCAGCTCACAGGGTGTGCAAGGCTTGTTAGCAGCCTGGCGTCCCCTCACTGCTAACATGCAGCCATGGTGTGGGTAACACCAGAGCCCACTGCCCTGCTGCCTTTCCCTTTCCTTCATTGCCCCCATCTCTGTGTTCAGAGCCCCTGGAGCTTACTGCAGGTGAGGCTGTGCAGAGCTCCCAGGCTCTCCGAGGCATGGGCTACAAAGTACTGTGTTTAGTACGGCGGAGTCTTACGTGCAGTATTTGTTTTAAATGTTCTTCCACGTATATGATTGGGTAATTAACCTCTTTTTTAACTTTTCCCCTTCTGCTAGGTTGCTATAAAGATAATTGATAAGACACAGCTGGATGAAGAGAATCTGAAGAAGATATTTAGAGAAGTTCAGATCATGAAGATGCTCTGCCATCCACATATCATCAGGTTATATCAGGTAGGAACACTCTGCAGTGAGCTTTCCCTCCCTCTTCACTACAGCTTTACATTGTACAGTGTTCCGTAGGTTTGTCCCTCTTTCTCCTAGGTGAAGTACTGGGACAGTCTTCATGTTTTCAAGGTCTCAAAGTACATCAGTGACAAGGGGACAGGCAAGAAGTGTGGCTAACCCTTCTCTTTTCTGGGAGATCACACTTCCGCTGGGGGCTGGCCCTTTGCCATTACTTTATGGCTATTGTCTGCTTTTCAGCTTCCCAGTTGAAGCCGGATGTGGGCTACCCTTCTCAGCCGAAGGGAGAGAGTAATTCTCATCCTTTGGCAGGACTGAGAGCGTGTTGCTCTCCTCTCCCTCTGTGCACAGTTCCCCGGTGGTTTGTGGACTTGCTGATCTGTTCTGTGCTTTCTTGGAAGGTGATCAATAGCAGTGGCACACCTGCTTTTGTCCCATGTTTGCAGACTTTTTGCTTCTTTGGCGTTTTTACTCTGCAAACAGAATTGCCAGAGACAAAACCCACGTGTGCTGCTTTTCACACACGTATTCAGCACGGTCAAACAGAACAGCAGGGAAGTTGCAGCAGGCCAGAAGTGAGCAGAGTGACGGGAGGAAGGAAGTAAGAGGGACCAACACCTTGGTGAAATGCTCAGTGCTATTCTGGAAACTGATGGATTGCTGAAATATCCCCTCTGTGAATCTTTCTGATTCAAGACCTCACACAGTTATTTACAACCAAAGAGTGTTTGAGAGCTCTGTTCAAATTCTCTTCTGTTGCCTGCAATCTGATTTCTGGGAAGCTGTAGGGAAATGGCTCCTTATCAGTCCCCAGAGCTGACTGCTGCCTGCCAGGCTCGTGCAGGACCTCCTGCCATCTGCTCACAGCCACAGCCTGAATTGGAAAGGGAGGGAGCTTCCATCCAGCTCTGGCTGGGAAGTCAGCTCCTCTTTGGGGAAGCACACACATTGTCCAGGGCCCTTTATCTTGGGAAAGTATTAAGTGCAAGAGGCTAATTAAGTTGAGTAACCTGCTGTTTGTGGCTTCTCTTCTCTGATGGCAAGCAATGACATGTGGAAACTTGAAATTCTGGGGAAATAGGGGTTATTTCCTTGTCATGGGATGCTCGTGTATCATTCTAAGGGAGAAGTTAAATCCTCAGTAATGATTTTGCCATTTCTTAGAATCAAACCCTTGTCCGTTCGAGACCAGTCTGCTTCTGATCTGTGCCTGGTGGATGTAAGCCATTATTTGGACTCCAAAGAGTTAAAATGAGTAGAAGTGAGAGAGGTTAATGTTTAGCTTTTTTTGCCAAATAGCCAAAATTGAGGGGCCTTCAGCAAACACTGCAGAATTATGGCATTTTAAGATACTTAGGGAATGTCTCTTTGTAGATTGATTATTTCATGCTTTTTTCTTGCCCCAGAATCCTAAATAAAAGTTACTAAAACCTGGATTTGGGAATTCAGAGCCTTTCATTGTTTTTTTATCAGGAATCTGAGTTTAAAGCCATGTTTTGTTGAAAGCGTAGGACTTAGAAGGTAAAAAAAAGGAGGGAGGGGCTATAATAATAATAGTCATAAAAGATTTTGTTCCTCTGGAAACAAAAATATGCAATATTAAAATTAAAAAAAAAAAAGAAAGAAACAAAAACCACCCTATGTTTTCTGGGCACGTGTCATACAAGGAATGCAAATCTTCTATCGTGTTTCTTTTTGCATGAGCAGTCTCCTTTATCTGTGGCTTTTCTGTCCTTACGTCCAGGTTATGGAGACAGAGAGGATGATTTATCTAGTGACAGAGTATGCTAGCGGAGGGGAAATATTTGGTAAGTACATTTATTGCATTCTTTAATCAGATAATGCACTCATTTAAGTACAGTAAACTGAAAATAGCTGCTGTGCTCTCTTGTTTCGGTTGAGAGATGCCCTTCAGCCTGAGAACTTTCCATTGACAAAAGGGGTAAAAAAATAAATGATACCAACTTAATGGAAAAATATCTTCCACAGCCTCTGCTGCTTCTTTGGGTTTTGTTGACAGGTGGTGCTGCTCCTCTTTTATTCTGTGGTTAAATTAAATAGTTGTAGCAGGGACCAGTTGCATAGGATGCTGAGGGCTTTGCTTCCCAGCAGGTCATCTGGAATTTGTTGACTGTAGGTCAAATGCTGGCATGTGTTAATAGCCTCCAAAGACAAATAGGCTCCTGCAGTTCTGTAGTATTTCATTCTCAAAAGCATGAATATATATGTATATATATAAAGATACTGAATGTTATCTTAGCACATATTAGCTACATTCATTTTAAACTCCATTACCTGCTAACAAGGTTTTGCCTGAGATGTCTTGACCGCAGAAGCTGTTCTGTGATGAACCCCTTGGTGAGACAAGAGAACCCCCAGATGATTAAAAATAGGGCAATTTTAGCTGGGAAGTGCTGATTTCTGGTGAGTACGGTCTCCTAACCGTTCTTCAGGACCATTGTTAGATGGCAGCCATACTTTCTCCTCAACATGGCCCACATCCTTCACCTTCCTCCTCCTTTGGAAGCTGACAGCTGAGGGAAGAGGCAGTGGTGGCTGCTGTTTGCAGGGCACTGGTGGTGTGGTGAAACCTTGCTGTCACCCAGCTGAGTCTCCCAGTTGTTTACTCAAACATTAATCATGGTGCTGGACGCTCAGCAGCTCTGAGGGCTTGTGAAACTCATCTGATGTTGTGCAGCAAGCCATAATTGCAGCACAATCATCTGAATGTGTATCAGACGCTGCCAGTGGTTATGAGACTTCACTTGTATGCGGATCATTGCAGGAAAGTATGAATTCCTTTTGACTTTTTCTCCCTCTTCTGTTGAATTTGGCAGAGACAATTCATCCCTTTTTAAAATCCAGAACTATGTGCAAGCTCATATGCAAACTTGGAACAAATTCTCCTGGTTACAGAAATAGCCTTCTGCATGAGTTGAAGTGAAAAATCTAATTGCTTTCTGAAACATTTTATGCTGTAGTAAATTCAGCTCATTAGAATGGCTAATTCCCATTTTACTGCCCAGCATTTTATCCTCATTCAGAGCTGGGAGCAGATAGCAATGCCAGTGACGCAGCAGCTGTAGTGTTTTTCCAACCCATGGCTGTGAGGCCGTGCTGGGCTTTTTGCATTTCCAGGTCCTGCATGAGGCCCAGCACCCTGAAGCATTAGAGCAGAGAGAGGAAAACCAAAGTCTCAGGTTTCTGTAATCAGAGTTTCCTGAGTAGCCATTAAGATTTTGCTCTAAGAGAGGAAGCAATTTACTGGGAGGAAGCAGCAGCCCATTTTGGAAATGTTGCCTTGCAGTCTTCAGCATCTCTAGCACTGAAGAATCACATCCTCGTGTTGCCCAGTCTCCCTGCAGTGTGGGCTGCCAAGGTCAGTGGGTAGGTGGGCCTGGTGAGGCATTGTGCAGCCTGAAGAGCCCTCGAGCTCAGCTCTCACTGCATGGCCAACAAATCCGAACAGCACCAGCTCGCATCCTCACAGAGTTTGGCAGCGTGTGCTCCAGTGTCAAGGGTACGTGGGAGAAAAATGCCTGTTTTCATTGGATTATCTGCCACCTCCTGGGCATGGGAGATGTCCCCTGTATTGAACATGTGTGTTCTCTGTCCTTCATCTCATTCTTCTCTCTTAACGTCTGTGAAATGGCCTTGATTTTCTGTGCGTTGAACGCTCAAAGTAAAGCTGAGTGCCTCATAGATCTGAGTTACGTCATTGCAGCACTGTGAGCTTCAGGTTCATTTGAAGCAAATCTAAGTTGTTTCCCTTTGATGCTTTACAAGACCACTGAAGGCTTAAACTGGGCCTTACAGCTGCCAATGTTCCACAGGCAGTAACACAGGGTGGAACTTTCAGCTGAATGAGTGGCAGTTTTGTCCCAGCGGCTGCTGTGTGAGCACAGCAGTCAGTGCTGGATGCTTGCCTCTCTTGTCCCTTGTCATTCTGAGCCCTGCAGGCTCTCCCCAGCTAGCACCTGAGAGCTTTACAGCTCCTTTATCTGAATTTCCAGTACAAGGGCTGTGGCAGGGCTGATAACTCCTCTAGCAGTCACACAGTGCCGTAAGTGTCCTTGATTCATCTGTTACTGGAAGCATTCTGATAATTCACTTTGTTTGCACCTCACTGTGTGGGGACTGGGGAGAAGACTTGCTCCTGCTTTCACCATGGACTTAAGCAGCAACATCTAAACTGTCATTTTTGTCCCTATGTGTGATTTGCGTGCTGCTGGGTTGACAGTTTGACATCATGAACAAATGAACGTCACCATTTAAACATAGGATGCTCTTTGTCCTGGTCTCTCAAGTGTCTTTTTTTATTTTTTCCGAGGTCAAATAGAACAGCATGTCTGATTTTTGCTGCTTAGCATGAATGCTGTAAGGCATCCCTGGTCTCCACTGCCCAGCACAGGGCTGAGGTTGGTGGGAGTGGGCACTGCCCTGGGGAGCAGCGGGTGCTGGGGATGCGCTGCCTACAGGTGAGCCCTGGCTTTGCTGCTCAGCCAGGCTGCTGCTGAGACCACAAGGTCACCAAGTGGTTTCTTACAAGCTTTGTTTTCTCTACCATAGGCTTCCACTGTTTTGTTTTTCCAATGCAGAGACTAGCATCGGGTCCTTCATAGAAATCTGGAGAAAAACTGGTTTGTTTTTTAAAACTGTGAAATCAAATCACGTGTTGCTTCCTCTACAGAAAACACTCAGAGGATCAACTCCATGCACCTTTTCAGCTCCAGGAGGACACGGTGGCAGAAGCATTTGGTGCATAGGAGCCAGCAGCTCCTGGCTCTGGTGTGCCTGAGGTCAGCACTCCAGCTGAGCCCGCGGCCACCGCTGCACCCTCTTTGCAGAAGGGGTTTGTGCAGACTAAGCTTGCAATGGTTAATTTTGGCATACAGTTGCCCTTGGTGGTATGCAGAGTATTCTGTAGCTTCATTGTTCCTCTCCTTCCTCTGGAGCTTGTGCAGAAATGTCAGCGTGCTTCGAATGCTGCGCCTACGTGCGGAGCTCGGGGACGGGCCCATGCTGCGGGTTTCTTCCTTAAATGTGGAATTTCATGTCTTACCTAAAAGGACTTTTTTGCAGCCTAAGCAGCACAGATAATGGGGATGCAGCGTTTTCAGACCAAGTGGACAGAGCAGCTGGCAGGAGTGTGCAGCACCTGATGGCAGCAGGGCTGAGCCCAGGGCAGCGCCCAGAACCAGCATCTGCCCAGACCCTCCGAGCTCACTGTGCAGGAACCCGTTGGCTCTGCTGGTTCTGTGCTGAAATAGGAACAGTTTTCCTCTCCTGGATGTGAAGTGCAGCTCCAGCTGTGTACTTCTATACATCATGATTGTTTTCAGTTTGTCTGAGCCTCTGCTGGGCAAAAATACGCATCAGAGAGCCTTGTAAAAGCGCTCCTGCTGCAGTAGCTGGGTTTGATTTTTGCCTGTAGGAGAATGTCTTTGAATGATTTCAGAGATGTTGAGAGATGGGAACTTTGCACTTGGTTTTAAGAGCGTTTACTGCATCAGCAGGCTGTGTTCCCAGACTCGAGAGGATTACAAATGTGACCTTGACTTGTTTAGGGCTGAGCTATCTATTAATCAGCAGTGATGCTGGAGCTGGAGCAGTCCCTGTCTTAACTGTGCTTGTCCCTGTCATTGCTCTTCTGGGCACACAGTGTGTGACCATGCAGAGGACTTGGTGAAATACAGTGGGACTGTATGAGAGTAAGTGATGCTTTCTAGCAGGGTGGTAAGGGCCACACTGGCATTGGTGGTGGACTCCTTTCCTCAACCCTGATTCACGTTTGCTCATGGAATAAGTTTATCCAGTGAGTAAAATGAATCTGACAGGTTTTGGAAAGCCAGCTTCACTCTGTTGCACAACAGCAGTACAAGCACAGGGAAGTAGGCTGCTCTTCAGTCAGAAGCAGGCACAACTGCTTTCATGTGTCTCAGTAATTAGTATTTACTGCAAGTCAATTATGTCGCAGGTATTTTAATTAATGGGTGGCTGGGAAGAATACAACCACCTGGTGAGAAACCTTCAGAAGTGATTTATTTGTATGATTTTCAAGAACAAATATCCCAGTTGAGCCCTCCAGTTTGAGCAGAGTTTATGGGGTGAAGTGAAATCCCTTCAAGCTGGTTTTGGCTGAGAGGTGTTGGGGTCAGCCTAAGCAGAAGGGCCTCTTGAAGTGGGTGAGGAGAGAGGCTGAGCATTCATTCCTTATGTCCTGCCCTCACTTTGCTCTTGGAGCATCATTACAGTGGGCTGCTGGCTGTGGCCTGGTTTTGGGACATTGTGAATCTTCCTGCTTGCCTTTTTTTTGGTTCTTTTGAGACAGAGCTCAAGTGGTGCAAGAAGTATCTGTGTCCCCAGTGATTCCTTTCTGAGCCACCCAGGCTCAGGAACCCATCCAGGTTACCTTCCTGCATGCCACGTGGCGTGTGTGCAAGACAGAACTGAGGGAAGGCGCCTTGTGGAGCTGCCTTCAACTCCTTAATTGCCAATTCCTTTTCCTGGCAGAGCTGTGTTCCTGTTCTGTGATGCTCAGGACCACGCTTTTGTCTCTCCTGTTCTCTGCCACGTTTTACTGCCCATCTCCGTCCTGTTTGCCCTGACTTACAGGGCAGAATGATTAGTGGTTTCTGTAAGCCTGGTGCTTTCCAGCTGTAAGCGGATTGATTTAAGGCTTGTTGCTGTTGGATACCTGCCTTTGTGATCTCTGGTCAACTGGAGCCTTCTTCTGTCCGTGTTTGCAATAATAGCTTCTGAAGGAAGCCTGTCTGGCCACACACTGCCTTCGGGTGGTAGATTTTTCAGTGAAATTCTTGAGAGCATTCAGGTTTTCTTAGTAGAGGTAAGCTCCATTTTCATAATAAAGTGTGTTCAATATTCCAAGTGTATTTTTACACCAGATATCCAGAGATTGGGAATTTCTGTGCGTATTTTGAAGCATGGGGGACAATTTTCTTCATTGCGTCCCCAAAGATGCTCCTGAAACAACTTTGGCCCCGAGCTGTAGCACTTGCAGTGGGTGCTCGTGCGTATCAGCATTGAGGCTGGGCCTTGGCCAAGGCTGCCTTGTGGAGTGCTGTGCCCCCCAGCAGCAGGATCCTGGGCAGGTGCTCAAAGTGCTGGAGTGGGGCAGGCCTGAACTGCGGAGAAAGCGAAGGAAAAGAGTGAAAAAGCTGTGTTTTTATTTTGGTGTAGAAGCAGACTTTGAGACCTCGGGCTTCTCACAAAGCCAACTTGTGGTTTCCCAGCTCCCTGTGTCAGTAAGTGCTCTGTTCTCTGCTTTGTCCATCTCAGATCACCTGGTGGCCCACGGGCGCATGGCGGAGAAGGAAGCTCGGAGAAAGTTCAAGCAAATCGTGGCTGCTGTCAACTTCTGTCACTGCCGTAACATAGTCCACAGAGATCTCAAAGCAGAAAATCTTCTTCTGGATGCTAACCTTAACATCAAAATAGCAGGTGAGCTAAGACTACGGTGTGGGAGGAAAGCAGCTGCTTTCAGAAGTTAATAAATGTAGGCATTGGCTGCTTCCAGGTATTCAGAAAGAAGGAAATGCAGTGCAGCTAAAGGAAGCTTTGGATTTCTCTGTGGCCTGCTGCCCAGAGCTGGAACTGGCAGGTTGTAGCCAGAAGATTTATATCTCCCTTCAAGAACTGCAAAATAATTTTTTTTTTTTTTAAAGCAGGTTTGGCTTCATAGGCAAATATGCACCTGTAGATACTGCAGTGTTTCAATACACCGGGTAATGGCCAAGACAAATAAAGAAACTGACCTTGTTTTGAGAGCTGTTGCCAGGTTAGGATTTCTTCAAAGCAGGTCAGGCCAGGTGAGAGAGAAAGAATGGAAAAGTAAGTATAACAAAATTAGTGGTACAGAAGCCTAAGGGGAAAAAGCAATCTTGGAATAATTTCACTGTCTTGCCAGGGTTAGAAAATAGCCCTGGTGACTTGGGAATGTTGTTCATTTCAGAAGCTGAAGCTGAAGCTGAAAACCAGGCCCCTTCAGTCTGCCCCCAGTGTTTTGCTGGTGTTTGGAGGCTTCTTTTTCAGATTGTCTTCAATTTAGGCTAGGTATTAGAAAGAAATTCTTTACTATGAGGGTGGTGGTGAGGCAGTGGACAGGTTGCCCAGCAAGGTTGTGAATCTCCCCTCCATGGAGGCATTCAAAGCCAGGCTGGATGGGGGTTGTGAGCAGCCTGGTCTGGAGGGAGGCGTCCCTGCCTATAGCAGGGGGCTGGAACTGGGTGTTCTTGAAGCCCCTTCCAACCCAACACATTTTGTGATTCTTTTGCTAACAGCTGTCCTTTCAGAGAGCCACAGCTTGGGCAGTTTGTGCGCTGGCCTGGCACCCTGCCGGTCTGTTCCTCTTGCACATGAGGATGTACTAACTAGACCTGAGCTTTGTGGGATTGTGTAGTAACTGCTTGAAACAAGAGGATTTAGTACTGCCCTGGTCATCTCATTTCGTGGGCTTTTGCTCTGGAACAGCCAATACTTATGTTTAATTCTACTAGAGACTAACAGATATCAGAGTGTTTTTGGAAAGCACTTTGTTACCCCCGCCCTGTCTGAACAGGCTTCCTCTGAGAGCTGGTCAGCTTTTACAAGGGTTTGTAACATGAATTAAAAAAACAGAGGTGCCTAAGATTGTAACTTAATACAGAAGTCTTGGGTATGGCAGAAAGTCTGCTCAGGGTCTGTATGTAAGCAGCACAGTATGTGCTGTGTGCAAACACTCATGATCTGAGGCCATCGTGTGTCCAAGGGGTAAAATCTCATCTGTGTGGATGGGAGGAGGAGTTCCCTGCAAACGGGAGAGGTAAAAAACAACTTGAAAGCTAAACCTGGAAGAAACGGGAGTGCAGCTGCATTTCGTAAAGGAACGGCCATGTGAGCACACCAAGTTCAGTGAGTGCCTGAAAATCATGGAGGCTGTTTATCTGGGGAAGGTGGAAACTATTTTCTTTCCAAATCTCTGCTCCCAGAATGGTCTCCAGAAGGTGTTTCCCACCCTGGTAGTGGCAGTGTTTTTCTTGGCAAGAAGATGGAGCAGATTTGAATAGTAGCTTGGCAAAGCTGATTTATGGTATAGGATTTTCCGAGTATTAAGTTTTGTCCCTATAACTCATCAATTGCAGCTTGACACCAGAGCTTCCATTGTTTCAAGAGCAAAAAAAGAAAAAAGAAGCAATAGCAAGTGATTGCTTTCACTGTCGACCTTCCAGAATAAATACTGCAGACATGTACAGAACCTTGTTTTGCAGGGTGGAGGATCAGCAAAGCTTTTGCTGCCAAGCCTGTTAATGCTGTCAAACTCTGGCCTCTTCAATAACACACTTAATATATCTGTAGCTTCAACCAGCTGAACCAGCGTGCCTGATGGGGGCTCTGTTTGGCAAACTGCTCTCATTTTTCAGACCCTTCTGGTTGCCATGCAGATTACCTAGCACAACACTGTTGGTCTTTTTCACCTGCGTTTGCAGCTCTGCGTGACTTTTACTCAGTGTTAGTTAAGGAGCTGAGCTTGTAATAAAGAAGCAGGCAGATGCTGCTGCTTCTGCTTGGTGGTAACGAGAAGCATGGCTTTTTTTTTTTTGATTGATTGATTGTAACTGTGCAGCTTTTCCATAAACAGTACAATATGAGCGCTGTGACCCCAGTTCTCGTTTTCCCATGGATGCCTTTGCTTCTGTGTACCTTCGCAGTCTGAGTCAGTAGCTGCTGGCACTGTGCTCCCTTGTGCTCCCAGTCAGAGAGTTCAGCCAGGAGTTGAGATTATTGCTAAATACCCAGGCCTCCCTAGGATATGATTTCAGACAGGAATCTGATCTATGCATTGCTTTGCATTCGTTTGCAAGAGCCTGCTCGCTGCTTCGCCTTCAGAGGATAAAAGTCCTCGTGCACAGCCCAGCAGCAGCTCCCTGGGCTCTGCTTTGGGGTGACGGGAGGGACTGGACCCTGTGTGTTACAGTGCAGAGATGGCTTTTAGGTATTTTCCCTGCATTGCATCACCAGGAGATTTGAGTTTGTCCCCCATAAGCACCCTTTTCCCTTTGCTCTGTTTGTGGAAAAGGACCTGGCTGCTCCCCAGCTGTGCAGTGTTTGGATTTGCTGTGTCTCTAGACTGGGGTGACTTGTCATTGTTTGTAAGAGCATTTATTTCAATCTCTCTGTTTCCTTTGGGGTTTGGGAGATTTTGTTTTTTTACTCTTTTTTGTTGCTTTTTTGTTTGTTTGTTTGTTTTGCTGCTGCTTTGATGTTTCCAAATCCTCCCCCCTACCTTGGTGGGGTGGGGGAGCTTTAGGTGTGCATTTCCACCTCACTTGGCTGCAGTTCATTGAACACTGGTGGCTCCCAAAGGAACGCTTCCAGCCCCAAGCTCCACATGGAGCAGACGTGACCACAGCTCCCATAGGGGTCAGCTCAGCTCCCTGCAACCAGAACCTTTCCTTTCTGCCATCCCGGAGCAGATGCTTCCAGGAGCTGCTGCTTCAGCACCTTTCAGCATCCTTGCCTCCCAAAGGAGGCATCTGCAGAACTGCTCCTTGACCATCTCCTCCCCACTTTCAGTGGAAAAAAACTGAATCTGGGGGCTAATTTCAACCCAGCACAGAAGAGGAGTGAAGTCCACTCACTGCAGAAAAGGATGAATAAAAGGAAACCAGAACAATTTGTTCAAAATATCACCGAATTGGGAAGTACCAAAACCCCAGTGTGTTCTTGCACGAGTTTACAGATAAACTTGACTATCAATGCTTTGCCACTAGGAGATGGAAATTAATTTAGTGCTGCAGATTTTATTGCTTGTTCTGGCGATCATAGCTCAGACACTTGTTAAAAATCCCACTGTAAAAGTGAGACAGTAAATCAAAAGCTTACTGAGGTGGAAAAGACAATTGTGCAGCTGTCTGCTATGTCCCTCAAATTTGTCTGCCTGAAGTTGTTTTTCCTTGTGCTTTGGAAATGGAGATTATCCCATTTCCTCCAGTCAAAACCTCCTGGTTTTGATACTGCAATGTCTTTGCAGTCACTGTGCTCTGTTGTGAGCAGAGGTCTGCACCACGTTGCCTGTCCTCCAGACGGTTCAGAAGGAACACACTGCTCTGTGGGGGTCTCTGCAAGCACAAGTAGCCTCTCTGTGAGAGTTTTGCCCCCTGTGAGGATGGCAGGACAAGCTGGCTGTAACCTGGTGGCTTGGAGTTGGCAGTCGTGTCAACTGTGCCCTGCTGCAGTCAGCTGTACCCAGCTGTGCTGAGGTGCTGCGCTGGTTTCTGCTGAAGTTCTCTGAAGGAGAGGAAAGTAGTCACCTGGAATTAGGTCATGGAAAATCATGCAGGGAAACGGAGGCTGCAGGCAGGAGCAGGAGCACGAAGCAGCCATTTATTGCCTACCAGCTGGGAGTGCTGAGCACCCTGCACGGAGGGTTTGCTCTGTGAAGCTGTAGGTGCTGGTGGGAAGGTTTCTTTGTCCAAAAGGTGATGGCTGAATTGCTTTCAGCAGTGACATCAAATGTTGTAGGGCAAACTCGCAGTTCTCTGTGGTTTAGGAGGGCAAACCTTCATTGGTGGCTGAGGAACGCATGATGAGTTCCTTATCTTCTGAAGCATGGGCAGAAGGCAGTAAGGAGAAACAAGCAGACTAAATGGAGATGAATGTTTAAGATGAGTGTGTATTTATTTCAAGAAATGAGAGGACAAAGGGATGTTGTGTTCTGGTGGCAGGTGAGCCATGTCAGTTCCACGTTATTCCAGCAATGCTGCAGTTAGGAACAGCAATGAAATCAGACACAGCGTGAAGCTCTTCATGAACGTTTTGTTGCTTCCTGCACCTGTACCATCAGTTCTGGCTGTGGTGGGTTTTGGTTTGATTGGTCTGAATTTGCAGAGTATTTCCAGCTTGCCTTGTTTTGTTCCAGGATTTCTCTGCCATGAGGATCTGCTGCTCAAAGGGAAATGCTTTGAAATGTGTCCTTGTTGCTGTGGGTCCCCATCCACATGCATTAGTGTCACTCGCCCTCCTGCTGGCACACTTGTAGCAGAAAAAAAACAGGCAAAGCAGTCTGCAAATAGCTGTGGTATAGCTCCTCCTGATAGAAACTGCTTTAGGGCCCTGTCCATGGGACATGGAAACCCCTCTCTGACCATGGATTTGCTTTTATTCACCTGAGACCAAAAGAAAAGAAAGGATTCCTTATTTTTATAAGGAAAAAGCACACCTCTCTTGAGTGCAGACAGTCGTTTCTTTGCTCCTCCAGCACAAGTCTCAGCTGTGTGCCAGGAGTGGCAGGTTAATTAGCAGAAAATGCCTTTAGTGCCCACATAAGCTTACAGCTGACTGCCTGTAAGATTAAGACCTTTCTTTTAATTTCTGTTTCAGGATTTATTATTTGCTGTGGGTGAATGACTTGAGTTGGTTGGTAGAGCTGCCCACCGGAACTGAAGTTTCCAGTTCCATGTAGTGCTTTCTGGAAAATAACTTGATTTGCAGTTCTTTTTCCCTTTGTCTGCACTCTGTTCTGGCAACTGCCCTGGTCCTAATGGAGCTGTGAAACTTGTCATCGGAGGAGCTGAGGGTTGGAAATTAGTGCCTAGATGCATGTGTGGTCTCTTGAATATAATCTGGAGGCCTCCTTCCAAAGCATTCACCTTGCAGCATCCCTGGCTGGTCTGATCACTAATTTCTCAACTCCGGTGTGGAAATCATGTTTGAAAAGTGAAGAGCAAACCTTTTGCATCTTTGTGCTCTCATAAGCAAAAGCAGTATAGCTGTAGTATGTGAAACAGGCCCAACTCAGGGTGTTTTGGAGCAGGTTTAGAATCATAGAATGGCTTGGATTGGATCACGAATCTCCAACCCCCTGCTGCATGCAGGGCCACCAACCTCCCCATTTCATACCAGCCCAGGCTGCCCAGGGCCCCATCCAACCTGGCCTTGAACGCCTCCAGGAGTGGATGGGGCATCACAGCCTCTCTGGGCAGCTGTTCCAGCACCTCACTGCTCTCATACTAAAGAACTTCTCCTTGAAATCCAACCTCAATCTTCCCTTAACTTCAAACCATTTCCCCTTGTCCTGCTGTTATCTACCCTTCCAAAGAGTTGGCTCCCCTCCTGTTTGTAGGCTCCCTTTAGGTACTGAAAGGCTGCACTGAGGTCACCCTGCAACCTTCTCTTATCCAGCCTGAACAAGCCCAGCTCCCTCAGTCCTGAATAACTTATATGACCTGTATGTGGCTTATGTGTGACTTCACTAGGCACAGCAAATAATGTAAACACCGTTTGTTTACAGCAGTTGTGCTGGATCATGTTCCACCAAGCCGTTCTCTTTGTTCTTTCAGACTTTGGGTTCAGTAACATCTTCACACCCGGCCAGCTGCTAAAAACGTGGTGTGGGAGTCCTCCCTATGCTGCCCCGGAGCTCTTCGAGGGGAAGGAATACGATGGGCCCAAGGTTGACATTTGGGTATGTGATGAACCTTTTCGACTCGGATTTCATTTTTGGCTTTGCTTCTTGAGTACTTAGAACAAGAAAAGGAAAAAAAGAAGGGTGCCCAAAGAAATACTTGGGCTCTTGGCTTGTGTAGCCGTGCACTGCAAGGCTCAGAAGGAAGTTTGAGTCAGGCCAGAAGTTTAAAGGAGAACCTAGGCTGGCCCAAGGCTGAGATGTCACAAGGTCCTTTCCAAGGATTTGCTCTTTCTTTGTTATTGATCTTTTCATTTAAAGAATGCTTATTGCTGTGAACCACGGCTTGTTGCTGACTGCCCTTTGTGTGACGCAGAGTCTCGGCGTGGTGCTGTACGTGTTGGTCTGTGGTGCTCTGCCCTTTGATGGGAGCACGCTGCAGAATCTGCGTGCCAGGGTGCTCAGCGGGAAGTTTCGCATTCCGTTCTTCATGTCCACAGGTAAGGCTGCGTGCCTGCAGTGCTTTGAGTCACATCTCTGCTTACAGATTCTTGGAAACACTTAGATTTTAATGTACCGCTGATTGATGTCAGGTAAGTGGTTTGCCAGGAAGCATATTGGATGGATAGCAGGTTGTAATGGGAGCAAAAGCGAATTTTGAATCTAGAATTTAGAAACTCGAACGTTCTTACTTAAAAATCTTGACTTCCATGTGTACGTAGCTGCAAGCTGTAGCAGAACATCAGCAAAGATACATTCTTAGTAAATTCGGGGAAGTGTGAAAGCTAAAAATGGAGTAGTGATGTAGGAATATAGAAGCTTTCACTGTATCTGCTTTAGACAAGAAGCTTTTTACAGCATTATGGCACATTCATTTCCTGCAGTAGCCCCACCACAAGTGAATGTCCATGTCCTGTTTCTGAATGCTGGAGTAATAAATCTTGTTTCTGAAAAACGTGATGTGATAATTGTAGGATAAAACCAAGCTCACTTAAGAGCAGCTCGTATTTATGATACCTTTGAGTGGAAGATTTCACGGAGGGCAAAAAAGGCACGTTTCACTGTGGCAGCTGCCTGGGAGAGGTGTTCCTGCAGGAGCCCAAGCCCTGGCAGCTGTGTTTTGCCCTTCAGCCCCACAAGTTGGTTGCATCCCTTGGATGGTGCAGGGCAAGGCAAGCAGGGACAGGGTGACAGCATGCCACCTAGGGGTGCTGGCAGACAGCACAAGCGTACTGTGGCCTGGCTGCCTTCCTCCCTAGCGTGGGGAAATCCTGAATGAGGTAAGTGTAAAGGAAGCATGCTGACTTATGTCTGTATTGGCAGTAAAAATTTGCTCCGAAAGTGGTTTCAGATCAGATTTGGAAAACTGTACAGCCAGTAGAAACAGGCTCTGAGTTAGGATGATCTCATCTATAGGGGCTGCACTGGGAGCTTGGCACTGAGAGCCGATGCTGCCATTGCTCTTTGCAGCTTCAAAATGGAGAGATGCTCCTGTGCTGGGGTGGCAGCAGCTACTGAGGTGTCTTGAGAGAGGCTTTTATTCCTGTGATGACTGATTTAGACCAGTACTTAGCTAGAAAGCTGTGGGTATTCATTGACAAATACAATCCCTTTGAGTATCACACTTTCATTCTATCTGGGGGAGGCTGTGTTCTCTTGTCCCCTCTGCTGCCTACGTACGGCATCAAATTCCTGCAGCTAAGTGGTGTGGAATGGGTGTGAGGTCCAGAAGGGGAAGCAGTATTTTTGCTGCTTTTGACTTCCTACAGAGAAGTTGCTCTGAGGGAAAGGCTCGCTCCTGATCTTGTGGCACAAGGCTGCCTGCTGCAGAAGTCTTGTTCCTCACTGTGGTTACTCAGCAGTCTGTTCCCTTGCAGAATGTGAACATCTGATCCGCCACATGCTGGTCTTGGACCCGAGTAAGCGGCTCTCGATGGACCAGATCTGCAAGCACAAGTGGATGAAGCTTGGGGAAGCCGATGCAGAGTTTGATAGGGTGAGAAGCTGAAGTGAGCCAGTGTGAGTGGGACTTGTTCAATGCATTCAGGACTGCCACGGTATTCGTTTCAGCTGCTTGGGAACTCTTGTTCCAAGCTCTGGTGTACTGCCTTCCCATTTTGTCTGTGTCCCCCTTGTCTTGCTTTCCATATCATCCTTTGACTCTGATTACTTGATATTTTTTCCCCTTTGAACTGATGTACCATCAGCCTTCGAAGCTCGTGCCAGCTTGCAGTCTGAGCCTTGTGAATTGGTTCTTCGGAACGCTGTGACTCATCTCTGTGCCTTTGGGAATGTAAGCTCTGAAGTCTGTATCTTTGCTCTTACAGCTGATAGCAGAGTGTCAGCACCTGAAGACAGAGAGGCAGATGGAGCCACTGAACGAGGATGTGTTGTTAGCAATGGCAGAAATGGGGCTGGACAAGGAACGCACAATTCAGGTAACGCTCTGCAGCTGACCACTGGGTGCTGCCTCTTGCAGCAGGATAACAAATAGCTGTTTGTTGCTAATCGTGTCTGGTAACTGAGCACAGCGTGGAGCTCGTTTTGCTGCTTGATGGAAAGAATTGATCACTTCTTCCTCTTCTTCTTCTAGTCATTAAGAGCTGATGCTTATGATCACTACAGTGCAATCTACAGCTTGCTCTGTGACCGTCTGAAGAGGCACAAGAATCTGCGCATTGCCCCGTCTCCAAGCATACCACGGACAGTCACCTTCCCCACCTCTGCTAACATCCAGGTAGATCCTGCTTCTATAATGCTCTTTCAGCCTTGGAAGGCCAGACAGACCCTTACCTGTTAAGCTTAGACTTCATTGCGAGTGTTCTCATTGTGCCAAGAGCACAAAGATCTGCTGTGTATGAGAACCTTGTGTGTATTTTGGGTTCTGTAATTGTGACTGTGGATTTACCAAATATTCTTCAGACAAAGTCTAGCCTTAGTTAACCTTGTGACAGAAAAAGTAACGTGAGGTTTACAGGATGGGAAATAAAGTTTACAGACCGTGACCACTGCATGATGCTCAACTTGAGATACTATCCAAGAAATGAGTATTTGCTTTAGGAGAGGCCAGGTCGTAAGAGGAGGAGGAGAGATGCTAGCCCTGCCTGAGCAGAATTGAGGAGAGGGAGGGAAAACGAGGCAATCCCTTAAGAATTAAGAACACTTTCAGCAGCTCCAGGGTAATCTCTCTTCCCAAGTGGTTAAGTCTGTTCGTTGGTGCTAGTCCAAGCATGATTATAAAGGGGTTGTAAGAGATGCTAGTTTCTTGTCTACTGATTTTTGATCCTTCTGATCAGCAGACAGAACAGGCAGGCAATACCATGAACATCAACGTGCCACAAGTCCAGCTCATCAACCCTGAAAACCAAATTGTGGAGGTGAGGCACCCTCCTTGATGGCCTCTGCAGGTTCTTTTCCGAGACTTGCATTGAAGCCTTTTGATTGATCCTCACGTTGTGTTTCACCATCTCCCGTGTTTTGCTGCCCAGACTGACGGAACGATGAACTTGGACAGCGATGAAGGGGAAGAACCCTCACCTGAGGCTCTGGTCCGTTACCTCTCAATGCGAAGGCACACGGTCGGAGTTGCTGACCCACGGTTGGTGCTGGACTCTACCTCCTCAATGGAGGATTAAGGGCACTTTTCCTATTTGTAAACCCTCTCTTAGGTAGAATTTGGGGCAGTGCATTTTTAGCTCTCTGTGGTCTCGTAGTAACAGGCGGGGATGGGTGTATCTGTATCACAGCTAGTGTCAAACCTTTGGTTTTTTTGCTCCTGGTGTGAGTGGCTTGGAGGTATTCCTGCACGCTCAATTGTTGCTAGATGGGGAAAGAACTTCAGGGTGAACCCTTAACAAAAGTATCTTAAATGCAGAAAGTATTAAAACATCCTAGTCCCATCACACAGCTTGGTTAGAATTTGAGCTGGAGATGAGGATCTTCTTTCCTCCTTGACTGTAGCTGTGTTGACCATTATGCAAGTTAATTTCTCACCTATGCTGCACTGTTATCGCGTCCCAGCTGGAGTCTTTGTGATAAGTGCTTTCAAGGTTAATACAAAGAGCAAATGCTGGAAAAATTTAACCTAGAGGGGGGAAAAGAAAGGGCTGATGAAAACTGAAAAGTGGCCTGGTTACTCTCTGTGACCATTTTCCAGTGCAATAACAAACTTGTTCTGTGGAGGGAAGCTGAATGTACTGAGCCCATGGGTGGTTCTCCACGCATCGTTGCTAAGTCACCTGTCTGTAAATGTGATTGCACAGGACGGAGGTCATGGAAGATCTGCAGAAGCTCCTGCCTGGCTTCCCTCGTGTCACTCCTCAGGCTCCATTCCTGCAGGTGACCCCAAATGTGAACTTCATGCACAATGTGCTGCCTAGGCAGAACCTGCAGCCCACGGGTCAGCTGGAGTACAAGGTACTGACCCACGCGTGTGCCCCCTGCAGCCTGTACCACACCAGCAAGTGTGTGGCTGTGCGTTTGTGCTTGTGCTTGCCCTCCCTCTGTCTGTCAATTCCTTGGACTTCACGAATTACAATCTTGCTGCTGCTTGAGGTGTGATTCTGGCTGGTTACTTAAACTAAGAATGAAAGAACAGTGCAATATGAAATTCATGAATGGGCTGGAAAGAGAGAGGATTTTGCTGCCTGGTTTTGGAGGTGCAGATGGCAGCCTGCCAGGTAACTAAAGCAGAATGCTGGGAAACGGGGAGTTAAACACAGCTTCTCCTCTGACAGTGTCTCTGTCTGCCCCACTTCGGCTTGGAGATACCAAAAATTCCTCATTTCTCCTGAAGCCCAGAATGCTCGTCTTCTCTCATGCTGATATCCCAGTCTGTGGCCTCGGGGCTCAGGTACTGGAAGGATCTGGTACTCGATTGGTAACTGCACTGTGTTTGCTTCCCAGGAGCAGTCCCTGCTGCAGCCCCCCACTCTGCAGCTGTTGAATGGCATGGGCCCTCTGGGGCGGAGAGCATCCGACGGTGGAGCTAACATCCAGTTGCATGCACAGCAACTGCTGAAACGGCCTCGAGGTCCATCTCCACTCGTCACTATGACTCCAGTAAGTAGCCAGAGGAAAGAACAGAATTGGTGGTGTGCTTAAAAATACGTTTTCCTGGAGGCAGACTTGACAGGGGTGGTAGACTCGGGCTGTAGAACTCATGGAAGTGCAGCAGGGATCGTGCCTGCTTGCTGCCCAAAGGATCCCTAGAAGCTGAGAAGGTACTGCTCTTTGGAACTGGCAGAGGGTTTGTGAACTTTTTACTACAGTTGATTTTCTAATAGAGAGAAAACTAAAATGTCAATCTTGCTTTTAATGCATATTCTTTCTTCCTTGATGTAGCTGCATGGATGGATTTTCCTGCTAGTACCAAAAGAAGCAGCAGCCTTGCGCAGGCAGTTCTGTATGGGGGAAGGAATGTGGGAAGGGGTTCTTGGCTGAGTGCCCCATAGCTGGCATGTGTCCTTGTGGAAGCCAGTTTGGGAAGGCCAGGTGTCTGCTGTGCGGATGGGACCACGTTGGCTGCCTTCTGGAGCCCATGGCTTCTCTTCTCCCTGCAGGCCGTCCCAGCTGTCACTCCTGTGGACGAGGAGAGCTCTGATGGGGAGCCAGATCAGGAAGCTGTGCAGAGGTAACCCCCAGTCTGTTAATGTTTACCCTTATTACCCTCAAAGAGGCTCACCCTGTGGCGTTCTACTACCGAATTAAGGCACGAGCAACCTCATCACAGGCAGCAGTGTTAATTACAATGAAGGCTTAACACTTCTCTTATTCTTGTGGGTGTTGATTACTGCAGGCAATTACTCCTCTGACGCTACTAGGTGCTTACAAAACTGGATTTCCCCTGAAATTCTGTAAGCTGTTAAAGCAGTAGGTTCTCTAGAAACTCTGGAACTGCTAAACTCCTTTGCTTAGTGTGCACCAGCATGCAATCCACACTAACCTGCAAAATGAGTGCTAAGTGATTCACCCCTCCCTGCTGAGTGATGGAGGTAGGAAGATCTCATCTGTGGCCTTGGGTGTAAATGCAGCTTTTGTATCAAGACATGCAGTAAACATCCAACTCTGATGCCTTAGACAAAGTGAGCTTGCTGAAAATACAAGTACCTCTTGGCTTCTAATTTTAGCAGTGGGCCTTAGAGTAGTCTGCTCCAATAAGAAAAGAACTATCAGACATTAGTTTGGAAACTGTTGTTCTCTTTGTCTGCTCCAGATGCGTACTGGGAAGCGGGTAGAACACGCTTGTACTTCCTCAATCCATGAAAACACTAACCATTTCCTCGCTAACATTTCTCAGTAGCTTTTGTGTAGTTTCTTCTGTGCTAACCAGCTGGTGCACTGTGTTTTGGGTGTGGTGATGGAGTGCTCCTGTCTCTTACCTCAAACTTGAAAAGATTTCTGGATTTCCCCGAGTTTGTGCAGGCCATCACCTCAAGTAAGACAACATTTCTTCTGGGGCTACGCTTGGGTGAATGATTCAGATGAGGGTTGGTTGCAGGCAGAAACTCTGGGAGGGGCAGAGCTCGTGCCCCAGAGCCTTGCCAGCTCTTGTCGCTTCAGAGGATTCAAGCAGTGCTGCGTGTAGCGATGGGTTGTGCAGTGTGTGCTGATTCCCCTTTTGCCTCCCGGAGCTTAGAAGGATGTCAGGGCTGGTCCATGCGAAGGAACCTGCTTCCAGCTCTGCCTTAGAAGCAGCGCAGCCCTTCCACAGAACGCATCCTGTGTTTTCTGTGCAGATTTACACTCCAGTCCATTGCCACCCTCATCTTTGTGCTCACTCTCGCAGTGTTTTCCAGCTTCATGCACTGCTGTTCATCCACCTGCCCAGGCAGCATGGTGAAAGAAGCCGTGGTGTTGAGCAGGTGAAGAGCACAGACCCTACAGGCCGCATTCAGCCCCCTTCAAGCTGCTGTACCCTAACTGTACACTGTCCTCCCCAGCAGGGCTCAGGAGCACCAACTGTCTGTGCTGGCAGCTGTATGCAGTTGTGTGGTTTAAGAACCAGCTCGACTGGAAAGGCAGTAAAACTCCCATGCAAGTTGCAGAGGTGTTTGAATCCCACTGAAGAGCAATTTCCTTGCGCTCACGGGTCACTTTGCTGCTCTCAGCTGTGTTGTCCATAGCCCTCTCCTGTTCTTCCACCAGATGGCCCATCCAGATTGTGCGTTAACTTGCTCTCCACCCCGTTATGTTGCAACACGTAGCTAGTCATCAGAGAAGGGTAAATAGCAGTAACAAATATTTAGCTTCTCAGAACAGTGTTTCCAACGCTGCATGCAGCCACCAGCGGACAATTTTTTGCCCTTCTTAATCTGACCTTGAAAACAGTATGCATACTTTTCTCTGCTCCAGGGAACAGCCACAACTCCTTTGAGCTTTGGGAAACTTTCTTCCACCAGAAACACTGTTATAGCTCATGATTGGATTGTTCCCTGGAGGTCTGAAATAAAATGATCTTAGCAAACCACAACTGTAAAGCTCTTTGGGAAACTTTCCCTGTCTCCATCAAATGATTCTTAAACAGCTAATGGCACAGACTTTGGCAAGTTACCACAATGCTAAGCACTCTTCATTCTGTTAACTTGCTGCCTTCTGCCTAAGTGGCTTTAGTAGCTGGCAAAGGCTGATTTTGGAGAAGGCAACGTTTTTGTTGGTTGTTTTTTTTTTTTTTTTGCTTGTTGCTTTCCTCTGCTTTACAAGATGAAGCTGCATTTGCAGAGGTTAAAAAACAAAGGTGAGAATCCCCCTTTTTGTAGCTCTTGTGTCGTTGGCCAGGTGCTCTTTGCCACAGCCGCCTTATTGCTGCTGGTTCCCAAGAGCAGAAATAGTTGAGTTCATAAGCGGCCATTCACCTGCCTGTCCTTGAGTGGGCAGAGTGCTGCCCTGGTGCTCATCACAGGCCGAGGCATTCTGGGTCTGTGCTCTGTTATCTCTTCTGGCCCTGTGCCCCCAGCTGGTCCCCAGGCATCGCTGCTGCTGCTCACTGCAAGTCCAGCAGGGCACAGCCGTCAGCACCGCGCAGCCCTCGCTGACATCCTGGCTGAGGCAGAGCTTCGTAGTTTTGCTCTGCATGCTCCCCCACTCTTTGAGGGTTTGGAAGAGATGGAAGGTGCTCATTCCAATGCAGAGGGCAGCTCAGCTTAAGCCACCGATGCTGAGCTGTGGTGCAAGAGGCATGCTCAGTGCTAGGGCTGCGACCCCGGAGCAGGAGCTGTGCTGCTCACCCCCCCAGCTGTCCTTGCCCAGTGCATTGCTGGGTGATTTCCAGCTCTGCAAAACAGGATCGGGCCTAGGTGGCGCACTGTGACCGGGCTGGGTGGTGCTGCACTGCCTGCCCTGTCGTGGCGTGGCCAGAGCTCTCCTCACCCTGATCTCCAGTGGTGCTCTGTGCTGTGCTGGCCTCTGCTCGAGCCCAGGGTGTGACGGGTCCGGTCTGAAGTGCAAAGGGCAGCTGAGAGGGGGAAGCTGAGCAGCCTCTGCACTGTGCCCCTTGTGTTCCTTGCTAAGACTGTGTGTGACTCCATGAGCACGGCAGATCCCTCTGTGCCTCAGTGGGGCCTCGTGAGGGGGAAGCAGACCTGCTGCAGTGGAGTGAATCCATGCTGAAAGCAGCAGGTCGCCGTGTGTTCCCCAGGGAATAAACCGGCATTTCCCTGGAGACAAAACGTGGCTTTCCTGATGGGAAAAGCAAATGGCTTCTCTTTCCTTCTGAGAACAGCGTTGGCACGCAAGCAGCTGAAACCACGCTTGTCCCCTTGTCCCCTAAGCACTGAAGGCCTCCTGATCTGACAGGCGTGGGCAGCATGTCCATGCTGTGCTTCTCCCCGGGCGTCACTCAGCCCCCAGTCAGTTCTGAGCACTGCAGCAGCATTCTTCCTTCACCTTTACTCTGGATTATCTAACACTCCCTGTTTTTGGAGTATCATCCATCAGTCTCTTATAAAATGTGCTCCTGCTTGTTGCAGATACTTGGCAAATAGGTCAAAAAGGCACACTCTGGCAATGACCAACCCTACAGCTGAAATCCCTCCAGACTTGCAGAGGCAGCTAGGACAGCAGTCCTTCCGACCCCGGGCTTGGGCTCCACACCTGGTACCCGATCAGCACCGGTGAGTAATGACACCGGCCCTTCGGGCAGCTTTGCGCCAGAAAACCTGCTCAGATGTCACCTGGAATGGAGCACTGAAGACATCCCGCTTGGCAGGGAGGGGTGAGGAGGAGGAGGAAGCAGCAGGAGCAGATCCCCAGGGCAGACGTGTCCGACCACGCTGGAGTTGTGCGCTGGCGTGGGCTCTGTGCCTGCAGCTGCAGGCAGTGCTGGGGCAGCAGTCAGCTGGCTTGTCCCCTCTGGTCCTGTTTTTGTGGCAGGAGATGGTTTGCCAGAATGGCTGCCATCACTGCAGGGTTGAGAATAATCTGTTCATTTTAGAGAGCTTTCTCTGTTTTATTGGTAGGTGTCAAGTTAGCAGTAGGTAGTAGATTTTCTCTGGAACATTTTGGAGTCAGATGCGAGGGCAAGACTGCACCAAAAATTATCTATGCCACAGCTTAAAATCCTCACTGTTCTGCACCAGAGTTGTTTGTTTTGACTGCAAAGTCTCTTTGCAAAGCTCCTGGAGAGCCATTTTATTTCCCATCTTTAACCCCTGAGGAGAAGGATATGGGGAAGGGAAGCTTGAGTGGGAAGAAAAATTGCAGTGGAAAAGAGGGAACTGCTGCAGATGGTGTCTAAGCACACTCCAAATGTTTGAGTAGGTCATTCCTAATTGCGAGAAGCGTTAATTTGACACAGAGTCCTTGGCACAGAAGCACACTGTAAACACTAATGCCACAGAGAGAGCTTAAAACCTGCGTTCTGAACCTCTCAGTGCCAAGAGTGCAAACCAGCTGCAAAGTACAGAGTTTGCTGCCTGTTGGTCTCGACTGTTGAGGAAACAGTTGCCTACCAGGCTAGATTTGCATTAAATCTTTCAGCCAGCTCATGCTGGCGAGCTTGACAAAGTGCTTTTTATTGTAGCCAGATACCTGCTGAGCTGAGCACTGATGTAATCAGCAGAGACAGGTGAACTCTGAGCAGACTGAGCCAGTGTCAGTGCCACGCTGGAACTCTAGACAGCCAAGATAAGCACCTCTACACCCTGAAGTTACTCCCTTAGAGGTGCTTGGGGGATGGGAAGAGCAGGAGGGGGAGAGATTTCTGGGGTCACAAGAAAACCTTAATAGGAAGAGAAGTGCAGCTTGCAAAACAACCAGAACGTGCTGTGTCCTACTTTAAGGACTGCTTCAAATTGTGAAGGTAAGCTGCGTCACTCACGCACTGCAGGAACTGACTTATTTTTTTTTTTGAGGAATTGTTAAAACACCCTGTGTCAGTATGTTGGTATCACCTCTGCCTCACGGTCCTGAGGCTGTTTTGTTCATTCTGTTCATTCCACCCATGGGTTGTAGTGTGCTGTGAGCCTGCCTCGCATTTGACCCAAGGAATCATGGAAACTTCATCTGACTGTGGCCTAAACAGACTCCCCACAGTCATGTCTGAGACACACACACAGCACAGAAACCATTAGCACTCGTGTCATCATATAACTAGACCGTGGCTGTTGAACAGCTGGTGGGTTTTATTTTAGCACTTCACATATTTTAAGCCATCTTCTTTATATAGAGCACCCATTTTGGTCATGATAACTTAGTATCTGAAAGCGGATTGAAGTACAGCAGCCAGCACTGGTCTGCCTTGGCCATGTGTGTCATTTTTACCTGTGGTTTCCGCTTTGCATTGGTACAACAGGAGGTGGAACGGATCAGGATAATGGATGGGATGGTATCAAAAGGGAGTGACATAGCTCTGTCCATGGGAGGAAGTCATGTGAAGTCTATAGAAACTGATTTACGTCCTGCTAAGGGACAAGACCTGACCCCAGGGTGCTGGTAGCATTCCAGCACAGTCATGTTCTGATAAGGGGGAGCCCCAGGAATGGGGCTCAGGAATGATTTCGCTTAGGAGAAATCATTCTTCTTAGAACAGACTTCAGCAAAGAGCAATCAATATGCACAGCAGCACGAAGAGCAGTATGAGCAGTAGCTAAGACTTTGACTAGCCTGCAGTAATGCAGCTGAGGTTCGTATCGACATGAAAGCAGCTGGGATACTGTTGAATTTAGTGCCAGGCTGTCACAGGTGCTGAGATTTCATCCCAGTGCAGGCAGGAGCTCAGTGCTTAACTCTGACAACAGGGAGCCCCAGCTTTGGCAGAATCCAGCTCCCCAAAAAAGTCCTATTCTGGCTCCCCCTGGTGAAGAAGAAATCTCACTGCAAATGGAAATGTGTGCAATTCTTCGGGCACAGTTGCCTTGGTTCTAGCTGTGTCTGCTCTTCAAAGTTGCCTTTGGGTGGACGAGTTGCTGCCCGTCTCTGATCTGATTTGTGGCTGAATCATGTTCAACCTTGAATCATGTTCAACCTTGAATCATGTTCAACCTTGAATCATGTTTATCTGCCCAGCTGCTGAGGATACTCAGTAATCTTGCTTCCTCTTCATGGTACTGATGGCACCTTATTTCTTGATCTAAAACACGGTTTATTCTGGGTGAGTGGACAGGTAGAACTTGGCGTGGCTGGTTTAAATCAAGTGCCTCTGTACCGCAGCTTGTTTTTTATCTGGCATCACTAACCCACTTCCCCATGTGTTCAGTTCTATTTACAAGGACTCCAATACTCTGCACCTCCCCACCGAACGCTTCTCCCCGGTTCGGCGTTTCTCTGACGGTGCTGCCAGCATCCAGGCTTTCAAAGCCCACCTGGAGAAGATGGGCAATAACAGTAGCATCAAACAGCTTCAGCAGGTGAGAGGGGTGGGGGACTTAAGGCAGCAAACCCTGCAGAATGCCCTCTAAATGTACGTGCTGCTCAACTGCAATCTGGGAGCTTTGGGGGCTTCCGCTCCTCTCTTCCTAGGGAAAAAATGCAGGTGCTGTGCCCACATGTGGCCTCTGTGGTCACATCAGCACTGCCAAACTGCGTCTGCTGCTCTCCCACACTTCCTGGGGCAGCAAAGATTTGGTGCTGTTCCAGAATGCCTGGGAAAAGGGCAGTTCATACTGCTAGAACTGGGAGTAATATTGCATGCTATCCCGTGTGCAACCAATGCATGTCTTATCATGGCTTGAGCTGGATTTGGCATCAGGGCAGGACTTTCACCTTGCAATAGAGTGGAAATATGAGATGCTCTTTTCACCTTGAAGTTATCATTATTACAGCTTCGTGCGTGCATTTTTTAAGGGAATGCAATGCTGCCAGCTTGAGCTTGTGCACAGTTTCTCCTCTGTTATCTAAGGCTTGAGCTAGCCGTATTGTTGCACACCCAATTCCATCAAATTAAATTAGACTTTCTTTACTGGATTTCTCATGTAGCAGAGTGCCTTTTTGTCCCATAAGCGTGAACCAAACGGTCACTTCTAGGGCGTGTTGGACTCGTTACAGGAATGTGAACAGCTTCAGAAGATGTATGGTGGGCACATGGATGAGAGGACACTGGAGAAGACACAGCAGCAACACATGCTGTACCAGCAAGAGCAGCACCATCAGATTCTTCATCAGCAGATCCAGGTATTAGAGCCTGAGGTAGACTTTCTGATGTCTTAGCTGTGTTTTCAGAATGGCTGCAGATAAAACTACAGAGCAGGTCCACGTGAGATTGAGGAGATGTAGGTTGCTCAGCTTTCTTAACGAGGAGTGAGCCTGAAGGACTTCAGCCGTGGTGTTTGCTGCTGTGACAGTGAGAGCTGCAGTCAGGGACCAAGTGTTTGGAGAATGTGGATATGTCCCACTTCACTCTTCACCACGTCCTAACTGTATTACTTGACACAGTACTGATCACAAACACTTTTTGTTTTCTGATGCCTGGTTCAGGACTGTATCCGGCCACCTCAGCCTTCTCCACCCTTGCAAGCTCAATGTGAAAACCAGCCAGCTCTGCTCACTCACCAGCTTCAGAGGTAAAGAAATGGCTTTAGCAAAGCTCTGGGGGGTGGGATTTACTCTGCCTGACCCAAGGATGAGCTAACATACTTAGAGTCCAGGGCCAGGCTGGAGGTGTGTAAAATAAGAATGGCTGAGGCAGTTCACAGGTGAATGTGCACGGTCCTTTTTGTTGGATCCTCTCTGAAAGAATTCTGGAATTAGAGAAATGTGATTCAAAGGCACAAATCTGCTTTGAACAGATGACAGAGAATTTTGCCTTTTGACCAGCTTGAAAATGCGTTACCTTCATTAAGCTAATTTCTCTCATGATTACTGCTCAGAGGTGTTCCTGGGCTTCTCACATCTCTTCAGACTTTGTGTTAGGTGACAGTCCTTGTTTTAATCACCCCTGACTTGGAAATGAGGCAGGCTGAATTCTGGGAAGGAAGGAAGGAAGGGAGGAAGGAAGGAAGGAAGGAAAGAAAGAAGGAAGGAAAAGGAAGGAAAAGGAAGGAAAAGGAAGGAAAAGGAAGGAAAAGGAAGGTTGGTTTTCTTGCAGGCCACAGTGAGTCAGGAAGAAAGCTTGTGATGTTCTCTTCCCAGGATTTTTGTTCTAGCCACCAGGTTACGCTCGTTACTTACATGTTTTAAGCATGGCTCTCAAAATAGAAGGCAAGCTGCAAAGAGTTTGGGATCCCAAGCATGGGCTTCACAGTGTTTGTCTTACAACAAAAATACAGCGTTTGGCGTCAGCTCTCACAGCTGAAAAAGTGTCTTAATGAGGTGCATGTGTGATGAAAAGGTGCTTGTTTCCCTGCGCAGGTTACGGATTCAGCCATCCAGCCCGCCCCCAAATCACCCCAATAACCACCTCTTCAGGCAACCAAACAGCAGCCCACCTCCTGTGAGCAGCAGCGTGCTGCAGCCCCACGGTGAGTGCTGACAGTTGCCTGAGCCATCTGTGCTCCTCGGGGCAGCAGAGCCGTGTGCTGCTATCCAGCCTCCGGGAAAACAGTGCGTGGGGGAGCTGGGGGCTTCGGTCCCCCCTGTGCTCAGATCCTCGTGCAGTTTGCTGATGATGTAAAAGATTCTCCATCTGGCAGCAAGGGCTGCTGTTATCGAGAGCGCGCGAGGATCTGCCAGCTGGAACGTGTTGATACGTTTCTTGTCATGAGATCCTTACTTATCACTCCCGGGGGTGGGGAGGAAGGGCTGATAGTCTTGGGTTGATACAAATCACTGTGAGCTGTGCTTTGTTTCTCTTTCTATGCAAGAGGCTCTAGCTTGACCCTTGCACCCTGACGCAGCCTGTCAGAGTTGCCAGGAGTAGGGCTCTCCTTGCTGCGCGTCCTGGGGCTCTGCGTGCTGCTCTCTCCTGAGCCTTGCCCTGGGCTGATGTGGGTGCTGAGAGTCTCTGTTTTCGTAGGTGCAGCCTCCCAGTCCCAGTTCCAAGGGATGCCTTCCCACAACACGATCTTCCCACAGTCTGGTAACTGTTCCCCTCCCCCAACCATGGGGCTGACGTGTCTGGCCCTGCAGCAGCAGTCCCAGGCCCAGCAGGTCACCATCCAAGTGCAGGAACCCGGCGACATGGTCAGCAACAACCTCCTGCAAGGGGCCTCTGTGGCCGGGCAGGGCACCCACACACGGGGTATGTCCATCAGCCCCAGTGCCAACCAGATCCAGATGCAGCACCGCGCCAACCTGATGGCCTCCCTCACCTATGGCCACAGGCAGCTGTCCAAGCAGCTCAGCGCCGACAGCGCCGAGTCGCACAGGTAAGGCTGCACTGCTGCACCACGTCCCCCCTGAGCTGGGAATGGGGCTGGGTGTGAGGGGGAACTGCTGGCTCTCAGCTTCTGGGGGGTTCTTCATCAGCCCCTTGTTTTGGGGGTGAAACTGACTCCTGGCAGCAATTCCTGGCCCTGGCTGGGAGCTCTGAGAGTGTGCAAGGCTGTGGGTTTTTGTGCCTTGGGAAGCAACTTGTGCCAGGAGTGGCTGTCCCTGCCTCCTGCCAGGGCAGGGCAGGAAGTGGAAAAGCTAAGAGGAGTGCTTGAACACTTGCTACTTGAAACAGACGCTTTCCCCAGATCATATTTTCTCCTCGGTACAGTCAGGGTTCCTGCTTCCCTTACATTTACTAGCCGCACCACCTTACACTGCAGCTGCCCTCGTGGGTGACCTGGAGCACAGGATGATGGGCACTCTGCCATTGGAGTAGTTGTTGCCTCCCTGCTCTTATGCGGGTATGGTGGATCAAACCCTGTGTGAGGTGGGAGCACCAAAGACAGCCTCGTTAGCTGGAGCTGACAGTGCAGTCACTTGTTCTTTTCTGTTCTTTGCAGTCTGAACGTGTACAGGAATCCCCCCGCCAACTACGACCAGGTGCACTTACACCCCCACCTGTTCCCAGAGCAGCCTCGTGTTTCCCCCAGTAACTACAGCCCATCAGGAGGAGTTGGGTTTCCTCCAGCTCAGCAAGCTCTCAAAGTCCCACAGCTTGACCAGTATCCCAATTTCCCTCAAAATGCACATCAGCAACAACAGCACTACACTGCATCGGCACTACAGCAAGCACTGTTGTCCCCAACACCTCCTGACTACAGCCGACACCAGCAGGTACCACACATCCTCCAGGGACTCCTTTCTCCCCGTCACTCTCTCACGGGGCACACGGACATGCGGCTGCCCCAGGCAGAATTTGCACAGCTCATCAAACGACGGCAGCAGCAGCAACAGCAGCAGCAGCAAGAGTTTCAAGAGTTGTTCAGGCACATGAGTCAAGGGGATGCTGGAAACATGGGCACCAGCATGGGACAGAGCCTGTCGGAGCGTCAGTCGTTGTCTTTGCCTTATCAGAGTGCTGACACCTATCATCCACAGAGCAGCCCCCAGCATCTCCTAAAAATCAGGGCTCAAGAATGTATCCAGCAGGTACCTGCATCAGTGCCACCGCATGGATACGTACACCAGCCAGCTCTGTTCCACTCGGAGAGCATGGAGGAGGACTGTGCGTGCGAGGGCGCCAGGGACAGCTTTCCAGACAGTAAGAATTCAAATACGTTGACCAAAGGTTGCCACGAGACCCCTCTGCTTGTAAATGCAGGAGGGCACGGGGACCCAGAATCTTTGCTAGGAACTGCTAATCACGTTCAGGAGCTGGGGACGCATCAATACAGGCATCAGCCCGCTGCTGGATTCAGTAGGAATAAGGTGCCCAGCAGAGGTAAGGCTCAGGGCCACTCGCATGGCTGAAATGCTTTTCCATACTGGCTGCGTGCTGCTTGTGTTCCTGCCAGAGAGCACCATCCCTACCTAGTACTGCCATGGTTTCGTGACATATTTTGCATAGCACAGAATTACCTAGATTCCTTCTGGCTTCTGTGGCTATAAATTGCAGGCATAGTCTCTCTAATAAACAGTGTTAAATAAGAACTCTGCTAGATTCTTCTCTTCGGAATGTGACCTACTTCTGTAGGCAGATAAAGGTCAGGACCACAATAGTGCTGTCTCTGAAGAGATGCTGGGATCTGTTGGCTCATTTCTTCTTGTTGGGGTGATCCCCCATCAGGTTTAAGTAAGTGCCCAGCAAAGATCTTCTTTCTGGAAGCCCTGTAACGTGGCGCATTCCTTCTCTTAGGGGCAGAACTGGGAGTCCAGGCATTGCTAAGGCTTCCATAAACTTGCAGCATAAGAATGGTGATAGGTGCTGCTAAGTCTGCCTCACACTGCTCGTGCACTTGGGGAAGCAGCAGTGAGGCTGGAGCCCTGCTTTAGCTGGAAGGAGCTGATTCTAAAGACAGGGAGCTGAAGCTTGCCATTAGCATGTGAAGCCCTTTCCTGCTGGTTGGAAACAGCCCTTGAGCCCTTACTCCTTGGTGGCTGCATTGACAGTGATGTGCTGTCAGAGCTATAATTACAGGCCTTCTCTGTAGGAAAAAACACAGTCCTACCCCCTTGCTAAGATGGTTTTGAAGAGAGGCTTTCCAGGCTGAGCGGGGTGGATCAGTATTCACTGCAGGACTGAGCTGTACTGGTCTGAAGCCATCAGCTTGCCCTTGGCACAGGGAACCCTATTGCAGGGGAGCAGTGTCCTGGGCACAGGAGGCACTGTTTTGTTTGGGGACACAGCATGGGTTTGTTGGGAAAGTACTGGCTGGGAACAGAGAGGCGCAGAGAGCAGTGAGGGCATGCCAAGCTGTGTCCCTCAGAGCAGGGGACAGGGACAAGGCCTGGCTTTTCTGAAGTCTTCCTTGATTTTGTGTTAGTGATGTGTTTTCTCTCAGGCTTTAATATCCCCATGGTGTTTGCAGCACAAAAGGGAAGAGTAACCTCAGGTTAAGTGGGATTTGAAAGCTGTGGCAGTGCATTTTGAACCAAATCTTGAGTTCGCATCGTAATCCCTTGGTCCAAAATGTGCAAAGCGATAAGATTTAACCAAGTCAGAAGGTAAAGTTCTGCCCCAGTCCTGACGGTGCTAAAACAAGTTACACAAGGGAAAAGGACTTTAGACAACAAGACTTTGTAAATGAGTAAAAAACGAGCAAATGTTTGCGAGTTGCATTGTGTAAGCACTTCTGACAGGGGCTGTTTGGAGGGCTTGTATAGTAAACTGTGCTCTGAGATGCAGCTGCTCAGAGCTTTCCTCCTGGCTTTAATAACCCACTTGGAATCTGGCCTGTGTTACTTCACTTCCAAACAGAGCAGACATCTAGGCAGACCGAGGTACATTTCCTACAGTTCAACCCTGTAAAACCTTGCTGCAAACACCCTGAATGCCCTGCTGCTTCTTGCTTGCCTGTAGCACAACCCAAGTGTTCCAGGTGCTGAGGGATGGCAGCAGGAGCTGTGCACCCCAGCACTGGCACCCTGAGATGGCTTTCTGCAAGGCTGCCATTCTCAGACACAGCTTGGGGTTTTCCAGCCATCCCCTCTGTGGGACAGGACAGCTGAGAGGGCAAATACCTCCTCCTTCTCTCCAGCTTGTGAAATGCATGCTGCTCGAGGGAGGAGTGCAGATTTGCGGGGGCTCAGCAGGATTTATGCCTTCCAAGAGAGTGCATTGACCCTGCTTTAAAAGCCAGTTACAGAAGGTAACTGCAGATCATGAGAGTTTCAACCAAATCTGTGGTTAGGGGATGACTAAACCGCATCCGAGCGGCTCAGCTGCAGCCTTGTTCCAACCTGGGGTCGGAGCACTGCCCGTGGGAAACCTTTCCCCAGTGCTGGGAAGCCGGGTGCCAGCATCACATGCACCGACACAAAGGGATGAAAGGGTCCCTCGCTGCCGGAGCGGGGCAGGGGCAAGGGCAGCAGCCTGCGCTCTGGGCTCCTTACTGCTGCTGCTCCCCGCTGCTGGCACTGCCTGCCCCGACCATTCCCACACTTGGAAGGGCCCCGAGCGCTGTGTGGGCGGCCCTGCGCTGCCAGCACTGCCTTACCTCATGTTTTCCTTCTTGCTTTCCGGGAATGCTGGCCATTAACTGAGTTTAACCCCACAGATGTGCAAAAGGAAGGAGGCCGGCTGGGCTCTGGGGGCTCCGAGCTCCATGCCTTGCTGCTGGGATGGTGCTCCAGCAGCGCAGTCTGCGTGCTGGGGAGAAGCGTGGGGTGCTCAGGGAATGAGCAGGACTTGTTTGAGCTTCAGTAATGTTAGGGACGAGTCTCTTGCCAGCTCCCAGGGCACAGTCCCAGCCAGGAACGTCTCGCTGCTGGCACAACCAAGAGTTGCTTCCTGCTGACCGTTTCCTGCAAACCCGATCGCTGCTGTTGGGATCCACCTGCGGCCGTGTCACGTCAGGGCAGCTCCTGAGGGCCCGTGGCCTCATCCCCGTGTTTGTGCTCTGCAGGATTGCTCACCGACAGAGAATTGTTTACGTGCACCACAGCCAGCAATAGGCTTCTCCATAGCTCAGGACTTTATTCAAAACATCGTGTACTTAATGACGATAGGTTCTGCTTGATAGGAATGTAGCCTTTACCCTTGCTCAGAAGAGCTTGCAGTGCAGATGGACTTTGCCAGGCAGAATGCTCTTGTACTCCTACAGCCAGATTGGAGGAGGGCAGGGAGAAGTCATCTGATAACAACTACTATCCTGGCAGCTCTTCCAGCCAGATCTGTTGCATACGATTGCCAAGGGGCCCTGCTAAGAACGTCCTGTGTCGGAGGTGGAGGAGACCCTTCTCCTTCTCTTGTGTAATGTGAGCAATGCATGGAGGAGGGTGCAGGGCGGGAGGGGAGGCAGATGGAGGCTGCTACAGGAGCAGAGAGGTCTGTGGGCCATCCCAGGGAGTCCTGGTGCTGCAGTGCTTGAGCCAGAGGAGCCAGCAATTCCCTTCCCACCTGGCGGGCAGCGCAATGCAAGCGACATGGGTTTGTGCTGTGGTGGCACGTGTTGCCAAGAGCTACCACGGTTTGTTGTGCTAATCTGACCCTTCTCTGTTTCATCTGATTTCAAGAGTCCGTCGTAGGGAACTGTATGGACAGGAGCTCCCCGGGCCAAGCCATGCAGGTGCCTGACCACAACGGGCTGGGATACCCAGCACGGCCGGCCTCCAGTGAGCACCCGCGGCCCCGCACCCTGCAGAGACATCACACCATCCAGAACAGTGATGATGCCTACGTAAGTGGGGAGAGTCCTGTGCCCAGCAGCTCCCGGATGCGTATGGCTTATGGAGGAGGTGACGCAAAAGAAAGGCAGCACCCTGCTCTGCAGGGCTGCTGGGGATGAAGTGCTGTTGGGACGCAGCGGTCAGCATGCCCAGTTTGCTCAATGCTGAAAACATTTTAGCAGAGACCAGTGTGGAAGTTCTCCTTTGCTCACGTGTTGCCTGATTTGTCCCAGAGCTGGCTGCATCTTTCCTTTTGCCCCCAGAGTGTTTCTGGTGAAACCATTTGCGCTGCCCCAGGCTTGGCTGTGGCTGCAGAAGTTTTACAGATGCACAGAGCCCAGCTTTCAGCTCTGCAGTGCTCAGTGACCTGGCCACACCAAGAGCAAAGAGCAGCTGCTCTGTTTTCTGCATTTTGAATCTCTGAGAACAATCAGACCCAGATTGTGGCATGTTTCTTGCTACAGCTTCCTACTGCTGTAGAGGAGGGCTTGTCTCTAATTAGTTACATGTAAGTCTGGAAGGGAGTCGAGTTGTCCCTCCATTCCTCGTTGAGGTGACATTGCCTGCACCTGCACTGTCCCTGATGTGCACTCTGTACTCTTGTACTCTGAGGCCCTTGCTGAAGGCTGGCAGAAACTCCCTGGGCAGCTGTCAGAGGCAGCCGGGGAAGCCGTAGGTGCCTGGCTCTGGTCCCACTCTGATTTGTGTCCCGGTGTCTCCGCAGGTGCAGTTAGATAACCTGCCTGGGATGAGTTTAATGGCAGGAAAAGCGCTCAGCTCTGCTCGGATGTCTGATGCCGTCCTCAGCCAGTCGTCGCTCATGGCCAGCCAGCAGCTGCGTGACAGGGAGAGTGAGGGTAAGGAGCTGGCAGGCTGCAGACGTGGCGTGGGCGCTGCTGGGCTGCGGGTTGGGAGCTGTAAGGACCTGTGTTGTTCTGACAGCCTGCACTGTAAAGCCACCTCTGCTGCCAGTGAGCTCTGCGGAGCCACAGGGGTGGAAGGGTTGGCTGCCACTGTGGGATCGAAGCCCTCTCCGTGCAGTTTGCTTGAGCTGAGTTAAAGAGAGTCTCTTGGATTTCTCACTGCACTTGAGGCTTGGGTGCTGTAACCATCTCTAGCTGTGACATACTTGGGGTCCAAACCTGTGGCAGCCTGTAGAGCTCTGTGCTGCTGCTGGCCCGAGCCTGAGCTTGTGGCAGTAATGAGCTGGGCTTCTTGCTGGCCTGACCCACATGCAGAAGCTGCAGCTCTTTAGTGCTCCTAATGCAAACCCTGATGTTGTTCTTTGATGTTACAGAATGTGGGGAAAGTTTGGAAGCTCAAGAGCATCCCAACCTAGGTGATGGCAACCAGCATCTAAACACCTCTTGTTACCCATCGACGTGTATCACAGATGTCCTACTGAGCTACAAGCACCCAGAGGTGCCCTTTGGGATGGAGCAGGCAGGGGTGTAAGCAGGAGGGAGTGAGTATCTGTGTCCTCCTTTTCTCTCCAGCTGCACGTTTGGGCTCTCCTGGATGGCAGCCCTGAAGCAGCGTGACTCTGTGCATCTCCTTCCCCATCCCTTTGCTCCAGCATTGGTGCAGGGCTGGAGAAGAGGCTGCCAGCTCCGAGCTCCTCGCTGCTGGCTGCCCCCCCCGTTTGCTCAGGGCCTTCCTTCGTGCCTTTGCTGTCCTTCCAGAGCCACGTTTTGTTGGTGGGGGCTCTGCTCTGGGCTTTACCCCGTGGGTTTGGAGTGGGAATGCGGTGAGGGGCTGTGGGAGCAGAATTGCCATGCTCTGGTATCCCCTAACACACCTCCGCTTCTTCTCTCTGTTGCAGGTTTTATGTACAGCTTTGAAATGAAAAGGTCCATTTTAAACCAACAGTATCTAGCAGCATTGCGCCAAATTGCCGTAGTATTTCTGACTAACTGGAATACCATGGCCCCCTTTCCTCATAATCACTTCATCCAGTGTGCTGTTCCTTCAGTTTCTTTAATTTTTATTTTTTTTTTCCAATTTTTTTGTTGGCCACATTTGCCTGTAACTCCAGCTATCACTGAAATCACCGGAGAACCCAACCCTACGCGTCAGCGGAGCCCGAGCACCGAGTCTGGTTTGGAGGGCTGGTTTGTGAGCATGCGGGGCCGGCGGTGGGAGCAGAGCCCATGGAGCCCCCAGGGCAGGCAGGAGCCACAGTGCATCCCTGCCCTGCACTGCAACCCTGCCCTGCAGTGCTGCTCCTTGGCCCTGAGCAGGGCAGCAGGGCGCTCTGCCCGTCCCCGCAGGTGGGAGCTGTGCTGTCCTGCCTCATCTCTGCTTCTGCTCCTTCCTTCATCACCGTGCTGAAAGGATCACTTCTTCCCCTGCCCTCCCCCACCCCCTTTGTAATTTTTGCATTTCTGATCCCCATGCAATTATTTTTTCCCTTTTAATTTCTTCCTCCTGGCTTAATGTAGGGAAGACAGATTTTTTTTTTTCCTTTGTTTTCTGAGCTTTTCCTCCTGATCATCTAGGATTTTTTTTTTTTTGGTAAATGTTGTTTTATTATTATTGTTATTAATAAAACGCAAAAGGAATTTCTGTTTGAGAGAAATTTTTAACTAGATTCTGTTCTATATGAATTGTGACATGCACCTTTTGTTCAAAGTATTTTATTTCTTTTAATGACTTTGTAATTGTGACTGGTTTTCTCTCTCGTGCCTGTGGCAGAAGTGGTTTTCTCCTTTATGCAGCTCAAACGTGCATAGATCTCTTCTTTGTTCTTCTTGTTGTTCTTTCCTTGGCTGAGAGAAAGCAAAGCACCCCAGCATCCAGGCCTTGGGGAGCGCGTGGCGTCACCATTGCCTTTGGGACGTTGAAGCTACACCTGAAATCCTTCTTTAATGACACTTTTGGAGTATTTAAAAAATAGATATATATAATAATAAAAGAACCGACCCAGCCCTCCCGAATTTGCACAGAAGGAAGTGTGAAACCAGCATGGCAGAGGTTAATTCGCTATGGCTACCAACGCCTGCCCCCAGCCCCGGGAAAAGGATGCTGAATGGATTCGCGGGCTGGAAAGCTGGAGAGGAGGAAGAGCCCCCAGCTGGCAGCCGCAGCTCCTGGGGGGGGAGGAGGCGCCGAAAGCCTTTTGCTCTGCGCCTTTGGTTCGTTTTCCTTTTGTTTACACGACACTGTATTCCTGGGAGAGTCGGCCGCCCTCAGTCAGCACCCAGCACAGCAGGGACTCGCTTGTAACCGTGCCATTTCGGTGCCATTTCGCAGTATCACACTTTTCGGTTTGGTTCCGTTTTGGTTTTGTTTTGTTTTTTTTTTTTATCATGGCTTTGTATTGTAGTAATCAATACGCAGTATATGTTGAATGTATATTAATATACTTTGCTATTATTTCTGTTTTTTGGAAATGTCAGAAGTATTTTTTTTTTTTTCTTCCTCGTTTATGTTGGACTAAAAAAAAAAAAAAAGAAAAAAAAGAAAAAAAAAAGGAGAAAAGAAAAAAAAAACACAAGGAAATTTCAGTCGATCTTTGGTCCATTTTTTTGTCGGTGTTTTTTTTTTTTTTTTTTTTTTTTTGTGGGTCACTTGCAACTCGTCAATTATTCGGACAGCGGGATCATGACAAATAAAACCATGATGATGATCTTCCCTCGCTCTCTGTTTGCCTTGTTGCTCAACGCTGGGGGCGGATGGGCCGCGGCGCCGGCCGGGAGCGCAGCGCGTTGTGCTGCCCGCAGAGCGAAGGGCGGCGCTGCCCATCGAACCCCCCCTCGGGTGCCGCCTGCCCAAACCCGGCTTCCCGAGGAGCTCCGATGGGGAAAATCCGGAGCTGCAGCCGGCGGAGGAGAGCCGGGAGGGCGCAGCCGCTCCTGGAGGTGGGCTGAGGGCGTTGGAGGTGTGGATGTGGGCTCAGGGCTGCGCCACGGCACCGACCGACCCGGCACTAAGCAGTGCCCCGCTGACCGGCCAATTAACCGGCCCGTCCACCAACTGCTGCATCCACCGACCTTCCCATCACCAACCGGACCAGACATTGACCAGCGTGTCCGCTAACCTTCCTGGCCACTAACCGGTGCATCTGTTAACCAGCCCATCCCCTAATCAGAGCAGTCAGTAACCAGCCCATCCGCTCACCTTCCAATCCATTACCAACCCATCCCCTAACCAGCCCATCTGTCGTTCCTGTGGGCTCTGCAGCATTACCTATGGGCCCGTGTCTGCGCCCCCCACTCAGCCTCCTTTAGGCTCAGCCCTGGCGCTGGGGTTACGCTGCTCACGTAGGGTCGTGGCCGGGATGTGGACCCGTGCTGCAGATGCTCGGGGCTGAGCCCGAGCCCCACCGCTGGGCTCCGTTGAGGGCAGCGGGCACCCAGCAGCCGCGGGGCGCAGCTCCAGCCCTCCGCGTCGGGGGCCCGGCGGGACGCGGGAGAGGTGGGAGCGGCGGGGGGGCAGGGGGAGAAGGGGGGTGGTCTCCGTCCCGGCGAAGGATGCGGTGGGGACCCACGGCTGCGACGAGAGGAGAACGAGGGTTTGGGGTCCGGGCGGCCAAATCCCTGCGGGTATAAACCCGGTGCCCGGGCTCCGTGCCGACCCCCGGGGGCTGCGAGGGGCCTCGAAGGGGCTCGGAATCTGGGTCACCCGCAGCGTAAACATCTCCTTGGCCAACGCCGCATCCCCGGGGAGCTCCTGTTTGCTCGAGGCTCTGCCAAACCGGCGCTCCTTGGCGCGCTCTCCCGGGCCGTGTGCGCGATCCTTGAACTCTACGCGCCACATCGCCCCGCGCCGGGGAGCGATTTCTTGGGCTGCAGCGCCGGCTTATCTCCTGCGGGAACTGCCCCTCCTGCATAAATAGCGGCGGTGGGGAAGCTGCGGGCTCACACGGGACGAGCGGTGCGAAGCGGCGGCAGGAGAGCGCCGGTAAGAGCCGCGCCGTGCGCCGGGACCTTCCGCGGCACCGGGCTCTGAGCCGGCTCGGGGCTCCGGTCCTACACAGGGCCAACCCGAGCCCAACTTCTCGCTCTGCCCTCAGGTTCAGCCCGAAGATGAGAGGCGTGCTGGTGACCCTCGCTGTTCTCTTCCTGACGGGTACGTCCGAACGGGGCAGTGGGGATGGGCTGAGCCCCACGGAGCCCGCAGCTCCCCGGCGGTGGGGCTCCGACCCGGAGCTCCTGGGCACGGCACTGGAGTGGGATCTTCCCCTCTGCCGCCCCCAGCACTCCGTCTGTCCCTGCAGGCACCCAGGCCCGCTCCTTCTGGCAGCACGATGACCCCAAGACACCCCTGGACCGCATTCGGGATATGGTGGACGTCTACCTGGAAACGGTGAAGGCCAGCGGCAAGGATGCCATCGCCCAGTTCGAGTCCTCTGCTGTGGGCAAACAGCTTGAGTAAGGGGGGGATGCGTGGTGGTGTCTCTGTGTCCCCATGTCTCTGTGTCCCCATGTCCCACTATCCTTATATCCCTATGCCCCCATGTTCCCATGTCCTTGTGTCCCTGTGTCTCCACGTTCCCATGTCCCTGTCACCTCATGTCCCCATGTCCCCACATCCCCACACCATGTCTAACCCCGTGCCACTCTCCCCAGCCTGAAGCTGGCTGACAACCTGGACACACTGGGTGCCGCGGCTGCCAAGCTGCGTGAGGACATGGCTCCCTACTACAAGGAGGTGCGTGAGATGTGGCTGAAGGACACCGAGTCTCTGCGTGCTGAGCTGACCAAGGACCTGGAGGAGGTGAAGGAGAAGATCCGGCCCTTCCTGGACCAGTTCTCCACCAAGTGGACGGAGGAGCTGGAGCAGTACCGCCAGCGCCTGACCCCCGTGGCTCAGGAGCTGAAGGAGCTCACCAAGCAGAAGGTGGAGCTGATGCAGGCCAAGCTGACCCCGGTGGCCGAGGAGGCGCGGGATCGTCTGCGCGGACACGTGGAGGAGCTGCGCAAGAACCTGGCGCCGTACAGCGATGAGCTGAGGCAGAAGCTGAGCCAGAAGCTGGAGGAGATCCGCGAGAAGGGCATCCCCCAGGCTGCCGAGTACCAGGCCAAGGTGGTGGAGCAGCTCAGCAATCTGCGCGAGAAGATGACGCCTCTGGTGCAGGAATTCAGGGAGCGCCTCACCCCCTATGCTGAGAACCTCAAGAACCGCTTGATCACCCTCCTGGACGAACTCCAGAAGACCGTGGCCTGAGCTGCCGGCCCAGGGACTGACCCCAGGCCATGCCGGCCCCCGGGAGTCCTCGGGGACCCCCCTTACCCTCCTCTCCCCCCCTGACCCGGAGACCGTCTCAGCTTTGCCATTCTTTTGTCAAATAAACGTGACTTAAGTTATTGGAGCTCACTCAGTCTTTGCAGTGGATGCTGGGGAAGGGGACCTAAGCCAGGAGTGGGTATGGGTCCTTGGGGAAGGGGGCAATAGGGCGAGGGCTGGGGGGCTGCAGGATGGATTAGGGTTAGGGTTAAGGTTTAAGGTGAGCTGTTCCCCAGCCACCACTGATCCCCACAGTGCCAGTCCCAGCTCTGCTCAGGACGTGACCACAGTGACGCTGGGCTGGGAGCTCCCTCTGTGCCACCAGCCCTGTGCTGAGCACTTCAAGAACCCCACCCTGGGCTGGGGGCCAGCTGGGTGTCAGCTGAACACCAGGCTCACAGTGGGGTTATGCATCTCATCACCACTCCACACCGCAGTCCATGCTGCAGCGCAGCGCTCAGCACCCCCAGCCCACCTTCCCCTCTCCTCCTCCCCCTCCCCCCCCACTGCAGTGACACAGCCATCTCACTCCAGCTCCACTTTATTTCAAGAACCACAACAAAAGGGAAACGGTGCTGCATGTGGGATGGGGGCAGGACCTGCACCCAGTCAGCCCCCACCAGCCCACAGCCGGGCTATGAGGTCGGCGTCAGCTTCCAGAGTTCGGCCAGCTGCTCCTTCAGCCGTGCCAGCTGCTGCTTCACCAGGTTGGCATTGTCTGACAGCCACCTCCTGCAAAGGGACCACGTCAGAGAGGGCTCTGGCAGTGCTCAGCTCTGCTCCCCCCACCCCGTGCCATCACCAGGGGCGCACTGGGGGTCAGTGGGGTACGGGGTGCTGTGGGGCACGTGGTGGCACCTGGCTTGCTGAGCTGCCTCTGACTCCTGCACTGTGGTGAAGGCCGTCTTGACTGCCTCCGTGGCTTGCTTGACGTACTCCTGCACCTTCTTCACCACCACATCTGTCTTATCGGGAGCATCAGCTCCTGCAAGCACAAACAGCATGGGCACGGTGCACCACAAACCCCACTGTCCCCTCATTCCCCATCACCCTTACGTGCTCCCACCGCCAGGATGGCCGTGCAGATGAGCAGGAACAGGATGGAGACCTTCATGGCTGGGGAGAGAGCAGAGCGAAGGTGTGGGGTCAGGTGTGGCACCCGGCTCCATCCCCTGGTCCCCTGGTGTCTGTCCCGGTCCTGGGGGTCCCACACTCACCTGGCCACGCTGTGCTTTGGCTTTGCTCAGTGGGGGCTGCCCCGAGTTCCCACTTTATATCCTCTCCAACGGCTGTTTGTGCAAAGGTCAGTGGTGGTGCGGCCACAGGGAGGGGGCCCAGCCTCAGAGCCCTTTCCCCACTTCCCAGCAGGGGTTGAGAAATCCCCAGGGGCCAAGGCTGGGGGCTGTCCATGCGTGCGCACACGTGTGTGGGGTGAGGGTGGCCGTGGGGACATGCGTGGGGCCGGCAGGGGCACACGCAGCACAAGGGTGACATCCAGTGGCACCCGCTGCAAGCAGGGGATGCTGCAGGGATGGCTCCGCTTGGGATGGGGGCTGCAAAAGCAGGGGGCTGGGTGGCAATGCCCAGCCTGTGTCCTCAACCCCAAACACGGCCGTGGCTCCCTGCACCTCGCCGTCACCCTGCAGCCACACACTGTGCCTCAGCGCGGCGTCCCCTCCTGCCTCCATCCCCGTTCTGTCCCCTTCTTGCCCCAATAGGCTCTCAGCTCCCTGTGCCCCCCCTCTGCAGGCCGTACCCACACACCCTGGCACTGCTGATCCCTGGCACCTCGCCGGGCGCCGCGATGATCTCAGCTCTTCGCACACGTCAGGCGCTTCCACGTCGTGACCTTGCTAAAGTCCAAGCTGCGGTGCAGGCCTGCGTGGAAGCCGGCGTGGCTGCTTGGATGCATAAATAGCAGCAGGTGCCGCCGGCACAGCACGTCCCACAACCCGCAGCAGCACAAGGAGCCTTGCTGGCAGCACTCAGGATGTCGCTGAAAGCGGCTGCCTTCCTCTTGGTGCTCCTGGCTGTGGCAGGTGAGGCAGCGCGGGGTCCCGTCCTGCAGGGGGATGGTGGGGCTGAGCGCGTGGCTGCGCCTCGGGGTGGGAGGGAGGCAACTCTGACCCCTGTGTGCCTGCAGGGACACGGGCCGACGTCAGCCCTGACCAGGTGGCCACAGTGCTCTGGAAGTACTTCACCGAGCTGGGCAGCAATGCCAAGGAGACCGTGGACCAACTGCAGCAAGCTGAGATCACCAAGCAGCTCAAGTGAGCGGAGGGACCACCGAGGCACTGGGGCTGCGGGCAGGGGGTGGGTGCGGGGTGCTGAGTTGGATGCAGGGCACCCAGCGCTGGGCTCTGGGTGTTGGACACAGAGCACTGACTGCCCACCTTCCACAGCACCCTGCTGCAGAGCAACCTGCAGAGCATGAACTCCTACGCTGAGGAGCTGCAGCGGCGCCTGGTGCCCTTTGCCACGGAGCTGCAGGCACAGCTGGTGCAGGACTCGCAGCGGCTGAAGGAGCAGATCCAGCGCGAGCTGGCCGAGCTGCAGGCCAAGCTGGCTCCCTACGCCGATGAGGTGCACCAGCAGATCGGCACCAACATCCGTGAGCTGCAGGCCAAGCTGAGCCCCTACGCTGATGAGCTGCGCTCGCAGGTGGACCGCGGCACCGGGGAGCTGCGGCGGGCGCTGGAGCCTTTTGCCACCGAGCTGCGGGAGCGGCTGCAGGACAACGCCGGCAGCATCCAGGCCTCTCTGGGCCCCTACGCCGAGCGGCTGCAGCAGCAGATCGACAGCAGCGTGGAGGGGCTGAAGGAGCAGCTGACGCCGCTGGCTGACGAGCTGAAGGAGCAGGTGGTGCAGAGCGTGGAGGGGCTGCGCAAGGGGCTCAGCCCTTACGCACAGGAGGTGCAGGACGGCCTCAACCGGCAGCTGAAGAGCCTCACCGTGCAGATGGAGCGGGCGGCCGAGGAGCTGCGCTCCCGCCTGGCTGCCAGCTCAGAGGAGATGCGTGCCCAGCTCAGCCCGCTGGCCCAGGAGCTGCAGCAGGCGCTGAGTGGAGATGCTGAGGCCGTGCGGCAGCGGCTGGCCCCGCTGGCACAGCAGCTGGATGAACGCCTGGCGCAGACGGTGGAGGCGTTCCGGCAGCAAGTGGCACCCATCAGCGAGAGCTTCCGGCAGCAGCTGGTGCAACGGCTGGAGGAGATGAAGCAGAAGCTGGACTCGGGCACTGCTGGCGTGGAGGACCACCTGGACCTTTTGGAGAAGGAGGTGCGGGAGAAGGTGGCCACCTTCCTCAGCACCACAGAGCAGGCGGAGAGCTGAGCCCTCCCCGGCACTCGGAGCGCTCACGGCTTCTCGCCGTGGCAGAAATAAACTGGCACTTTGTGATGCACCCCATGGTCTGTGTTCGTCCTTCTGCAGCCATTCTGGCTTCCAGGTGACCTCCAAATTTGGGTCCCAGGGAGCCTGAACTGAAGCCTGGGATATCACCACATCGTAGTCTGGGTGGTATGTGGGCTTGCTTGGGGCTCTGGAGGTGTAAGCATAAACCTGAGCACCCCACTGCCCAGGCCGGGCCTTAGCAGAACCCCAACCCTGGCAGGCACTCCGCAGCTCTACACTGCCCTGCTTCAGCCCCTTGCCCCCAGCAGGACCCTGGCCCCCAGCTCCAGAGTCCATTGAGGATGGGAGACACAGATGGGGCACTGCACATTGGCAGAGTACCCCCAGAGGTAACCCTGCATGCAGTGGTGTTTGCACAGAGCAGGGAACAAGGCTGGACTTTGGCCCCCAGCCCCAGCATCATCTGGATGGAGGCAGTGCTGGAGGTGCCTGGTTCCAGCAGGTCTACTCCTGCCCCTGTTTGCTGGGTTGCTTCAGAGCAAATATTTCAAAGCCTGGGGTCAGCAGCCAGGCAGGAGCAGCCCCACAGCAGCCTGTGCATTGGGCCCTCTTCTGCTCAGAGCAGAGGGTCCAAGACCTGCACTGAGAGCACTGGAGGAAAAATGGTAAAAGAAATATACAGAGCCACAGAGTCTTTGGCATTCTGTAGGGAAGTAGTTGCTCACAATTTGCAATCAAGCAGCCCACATCCCAGGAGCGCTCTCTGGCTTGGGCACTCCCTGCCCTGCTCTCCCATTCCCTGCACAACAGACCCCTCATCCCACACACAAGGAATTTGCCCCGAGATACAAAGGTCAGATGGGAGCAAAGGTCAGCTCCATCCCGAGAAGCCCACAGAACAAACAGCGATGGCCCATTATCGCTGGGACAACAACACACACCAACACACCAGCAATCCGCCCACTGGGAGATGCTGGGGGAACGGGGAGGGCTCACTGCAGCTCTGGGGGTTAAGGTCAGGCCGGATGGCTGCAGTCCAGCTGGTGCAGGGCACGTGCAGCAGTCAGGTGACGGGCACTCACGTCATCCCCCAGGCACGCTGCTGGACCTCCACGTTGTATTTACATGGAGTGAGGTCCAAAAAGCCTACCCCTGTGGATGCACTTATCTCTGAGCTCTTCTGCCGCCCGCAGATGGGTATATAAAGTGAGCCCGTGCCTGGCTGCAGCAAGAGGTGACAGCAGCCAGGTGCAGGGCAGAGGTGCAGCCTCGCTGCGCTCCCCATACTGGGGACATCTGGCCTCTGGCAGAACGTGTCTGACCTCACTGGGCAGCCCCACGCAGGAGCAGCGCGACTCCTGACTCCAGAAGTGAGGTAAAATTGGGGAGCGAAACATAGGGACGGATGGCCCACAGGACACAGACTGTGGCATGAATTAACGCTCATCTTCTTTCTTTATCCTGTAGCGTTGCAGCTTGCTGGCCCAGCAGATCATGTCACTGAAGGCTGCGCTTCTGCTCACCCTCCTGGCCACCCTGCCAGGTTGGTGTCTGCGTGGCTCCAGGCTGCCTGGCGGCACGGGGATGGGGTGGAAAAGGGGTGTGGGGGAGCTCTGGCAACAGCCACCGCAGAGCAGAGGTGGCCACGCTCACATGGCACAGCTGCTCCGGCCCCGTGATGGCTTTCTGAGTTCCCTTGAACCCACGCCATGACCGCCGCGTGCCGACCTGTTCCCATCCTCGTGACTCAGAGCGAATCAGCAGCAGGCAGCTGGCGGCTGCTGTGGGCACGGGGTCCTGCAGAGCACAAAGCCCCAGCTGCTGTGTCCCTCGGCCACTTCAGGGGTGGCTTCTCAGGTAGCACAGAACTGGTGGAACATGCGATGAAGCCCAAGAGCACCCGTACCCCACACCCACATTCATCCACCCCATCTGCTCTGTGTTTTCTCAAGCTTTGCTCTGCATCCCCAGTTCTGTGGGCTGCTGCAATAACCACTGCTCTTCTCCTTGCAGTGTCACCAGCCGAGCTGGCACGGAATGGCTTCTGGGATTACCTCAGCCAGCTGACCAGTGACAAGGACAGCCTAGAGCAGGCACAGGGCAGCAAGCTGGGCAGGGATTTCACGTGAGTATCCTGCTTCTGGGGCTCACACCACTCTGAGAGGAGCTGGATGTAAAGCTCGTGCCCTTCCTGTAAGTCAGTGGTGCTTTATTAACTGTGACTGCTGCCTTGTACAGAAGCCTGAAGGAAAGCCTCCAGGATGGAGTCAGCAATGTGGGGAACTTCCTTGAGAAGCTGGCGCCTCTCAACAGAGGCATCCAGCCACGGCTGTACCACGACTCTGACAGCCTGCGGAAGCTCATCAGGAAGGAGCTGGAGAGTCTGAGAGTGAAACTGTCCCCTTACGTGGACGACGTGCACCACAGAGTCGGCAAGCACCTGGAAGACCTCCGCTATCAGCTGCAGCCCTTCACCGAGGAGCTGCTGGACCAGGTGTCTCTCCGTGCACGGGAGCTGCAGCGCCACCTGACGCCCAGCCGCAACGTGGCGGCTCAGCTACTGGACGGAGTGGATGAAGTGCAGCGTTTCATGGCTCACTACGCCGATAAGATCGCCTTCCACACGGACCAGGTGAAGGACATCTTCCAGCCGTACGCCGACAGGCTGGTGAGCGAGATCCAGCGCTCAGTGGAAGAGCTGCACAGGAACGTGGTCCCGCACAGCCCCGCCAGCCCGGAGCAGCTCAACCAGCACATCCGTGAGCTGTCCGCCAAGCTGACGGAGAACGCACGGGATCTGCACCGCAACATCCAGCGCAACCTGGAGCGGCTGAAGGCCAAGCTCAGCCTTCGCCCCAGCCGCCCCGGGGAGCGCTATGCCGAGGAGATGGCCAGCGAGGTGCAGCAACGCATCGACGAGTTCCGCAGGGACACCTTTCTCCAGATCCAGGACTTCACGCGCGCCGTGCACCAGGAGACGGAGGACATGAGGCTGAAGCTGTCCTCCCGGCCCCACTACCCGGAGGAGGCTGCGGGCAGCCCGGCCCCGCTAGAGGACCTGCGGGCCAGCCTGGACGCGCTCTGGAGGGATCTGTCGCACAGCCTGAGCGAGCGCGGCGGGGATGCGCCCTGACGGCCGGGCATGGGGAGCAGGGAGCGGGGCCGGGCGCAATAAAGGCTCCGAGCCACCACGCCTCGCCTCCTCCGCCGCCATCACCGTCCCTCTGTTTCCCCATCACGTGACCTCACCCAGTCACGTGATCTAACCCAATCACGCAATACTTCCAATCACGCGATACTTCCAATCACGTGATGGTTCACTCCCAGTCACGTGATCATCTACGCCGTACGCGCCTTCTCCGTCACGTGACCGGCCCCCGTCACGTGTTCGCGCGGCGCGCAGGCGCGCTGGGAGCGGCCCGGCCCGGCCAAGATGTCGGCGCTGGGTGCGGTGGAGGCGGCCGGTGTCGGGGGGGCTGCCATGTTCCGGCCTCTCAGCGCTGAGGATGGCGAGCAGCAGCCGGCGGAGATCGAGTCCCTGTGCATGAACTGCTACCGCAACGTGAGGGCGGAAAGCGGGTGGAAAGGGTGGGGACGGGTGCAGGGGTGTGCTGGGGGAGAGAGGCCTGTGGGAGGCTGGACCTGGGGGCTGTGTGGGGATGGAGCCCCGCAGGGCCGTGCAGGCCGCGCCCGGCTCCATCGGGCTCCTCGCTGCTGCAGGGGATGACGCGGCTCCTGCTGACCAGGATCCCCTTCTTCAAAGAGATCATCGTCAGCTCCTTCACCTGTGAGAGCTGCTCCTGGTCCAACACCGAGATCCAGTCGGCGGGCCGCATCCAAGAGCAGGGCGTGCGTTGTGCCCTGGCCGTGGCCTCCCGGCAGGTGAGCAGCACGTCCCAGCTCCTCTCAGCAAACAGCTGGGCTGTACCAAAGGGAGGTGGGGAGCTGCTTCAGAGCTGCCCTATGTGTGCCCTTATTCCTCATGTGTTGCTCTTGAGAATAAAAGCTCTTGTGTCGTTTGAGGAATCACTTTATTTTTTCTCCCCCAATGAGCCACTTAATCCCAAAACATATGTATTACTGATGCACTTGTGGGCATAAGAATTATCTTCCAGTGTGTTCCATTTATCTTGCCTGCTCATTGCTCCCTCGCTCTGGTGTCTGCAGTGAGCAGTGCCTGCAGCTCTCTCCCCAGATCTGCAGAGGTTGTGAGGAATCTGCCCATCCTGAGCGGGTGGATGTGGCGGGAGTTTGAGCTGCCTTTTGAATGGTCTCTGAAAGTGTAACTTCAAACTGAAATGGGACTTTTGTTCTGTTTCTGCCTCACAGCAAAGAGGGTGGCTTCTAAAATTGCCCTCAAACTATTGCTGCTTCTTCTGCAAGAACTGTAAGCCCCAGTGTGGGCACTTAGGATGTGGAAGCTCCTGGTCCTAATGCTGCTTGTGAACTGTTGTGTGCAGGATATGAACAGGGAGATTGTGAAGACTGACTGTGCCACTGTTCGAATTCCAGAGCTGGACTTTGAGATCCCTGCCTTCTCCCAGAAGGGAGGTGGGTATGTGGCCTGTGCCCCTTTGCATGCCTCTATTGTGTAGTAGGCAGTGTTTGAGGAACAGCCCTCCTGTTGGTGTGTTGTCAGGACAAGCTGTCAGGTTTGGGAAAACTGCTGGCTGTACTTAATGCAGCTTCTGTTTCTTTCCCTGTCAAGTTCTTACCACCATTGAAGGCGTAATTGACAGAGCTGTTATGGGTCTGGAGCAGGACCAGCCTGTCCGCAGGGTAAGATGCTGTGAAAGATGAATTTTCTGAGAGCTGCTTGGTTTTTTTTTTGCTTGTTTACTTTGTAATCCCTCACCTACTGGCTTTACACTCTGCTAAGTGTATCATGAGCTCTGGTTTGTGCTGTCAGCAGTGTTGTCTTCAGCTCTGGGTTGCCCCTGATATCAGTCTCCAATGTGTCCTCTTGCAGGCAACAGACAAAGAGGTGGCAAGTAAAATAGATGACTTCATTAGTAGGTTAAAGCAGCTGAAAGAAGTGCATTCCCCTTTCACGTTTGTAAGTATGTCCAGGAGTGCAGACCTGTTCTGTTGGAGGAGTGGGCTGGCTTCTTAAGGTTTCCTGTGGCTTTCTTCTGCTATAGATCATAGATGATCCTTCAGGGAACAGCTTTGTGGAGAATCCCCATGCACCTCAGAAAGATGAAGCTCTTGTAGTCACTTATTACAAGCGGACTCCCCAGCAGGCTGCTATGTTGGGTCTTGAGGTAACGTGGAGGTGTTGCGTTCCCTTCCTGCTCAGCCTTGCCCTCTCCACTGCTGGTGGTGTGGTGTCCACTTTCCTTCCACGCAAGACCAGCTGGCCTTGGTGTGCTCCCATCCACCCCTTGCTACCTGGGAGACCTTGAGTTAGAGAGGAGGCACAGGTAGAAGCTAAAAACCTTCTGTTGCAGGAAGAGGAATCGGATGAGAAGCCAGCTGATTCTGCAGAGGATCTGAGGAATGAGGTGGGTGATTTCTGCAATGCAGTGAGGGCTCTGTGCAGGTGACTGGCACGTGGGGCAGGCTTGCAGGGCCGGCTGATGCTCCCTGATTGTCCTTTTCATTCCTGTGCTTTAGGTACTGCAGTTCAACACCAACTGCCCTGAGTGCAATGCTCCAGCTGACACAAACATGAAGCTAGTGCGTATCCTTTGAGTGGTGGCATGGGCTCAGATGGGTGTTTTCTGCTGGAGTTTTCTGCTGCCTTCTGTGCAAAGGCCAGGGTATGGGCTGCTTTGTGAGCTGACCTAGACCTACTCCTGCAGCATCCATAAGGCACAAATAAATTATTTCTAGTAGAAGCTGCAGGCCACTCTGAGATTCTTCTTCTGATGAATTTTCCTTGACTGTCTGCTCCAGAAATCCCACACTTCAAGGAAGTGATTATCATGGCCACAAACTGTGACTCCTGTGGGCACAGAACAAATGAGGTAAACTATTGACATATATATATATTTTTGGGGGTTGTTGGGGAGTGTGTTCTTCTGTGCCTTGATGGGGAGTTTCTCAGAGTTGTTGGCCAGGGTCCTGTGTTCGTTAAATTTGTGAAGGGAGAAAATATTGTGTCTGGAAAAGCTCCATGTAATGAATGAGGGTAATCCATCTCCAGACCTGTGATGTTCCCTGCTTTTGAGGGGCTGTCCCCAAGCCTGGAGTAGCCTTTGCAACGCTCAGCAAGCTGAGCAGCCATGGCAGGCCCTTCAAGAGCATCCTGACCTGACTCAAGTACAAAAGTCCCATCTGCTGACTGCCACGTGTTCCTAGGTGAAATCTGGAGGAGCAATTGAACCCCGAGGCACCAGGATTACCTTTAGAATCACAGATCCTTCAGACATGACGAGAGACATCCTAAAGGTAATGAGCCTTCACGTGTTTCCCTCCCTCCCTCTTTGGCTCCTACGGCGGGTGCACGGTGGCCTGGCTGTTCCCTGAGGAGTGGGGCTGCCAGGATTCACATGGAGGTCTCTGTTGCAGTCAGAAACGTGCAGCGTGGAGATTCCAGAGCTGGAGTTTGAGCTGGGAATGGGAGCACTGGGAGGGAAATTCACCACTCTGGAAGGGCTGCTGAAAGATATCAAAGACTTGGTGAGTGGTTCTTGTTGTCTTCCGGTGGAACCCTGCTAAAGGGGCTTGTTTTACTCAAGGTGGAGCAGTGCACTCCTCTGTGGGCTTCGTGTTACCTTTGCATCATAGTGTGTCAGTTACACTTGTGGATTCTTGTCTCCAGCTTCTGTACCCCACTGCTTTGGTGACAGCAGGGGTCAGACTTGGTCATGCTGTCAGCTTGAATCCTTGCACTCTGCCTGAGAGGCAGTTCTGAACAGCCAGCAGAGCTCAGACCCCTCTGTACTAATATTTAGTCTGCCTGTGGCACAGGGATTTTGGTGCTGGCTTTCTTCTGTGCTGCATAAATGCCCGTGTCTGCTCTTCCAGGTTGAGAGAAACCCATTCACCTTGGGGGACAGCTCTACTCCAAGCAAAACAGGAAAGCTGCAGGAGTTCATTGGCAGATTGCAGGAGGTAAGTGTCCTCTGAAGTCTCAATGAGCTGTAACGTGGTGGTTTTGCCACCGTTTTTGCTGCTTTGAAGTGTGTTAACTCCTTGGCAAGTGTCACCGTACCTCTTCAAGCTGTTCCACCCTTGGCCTTTGTGCCGTCACATCTTGTCAAGCTGTTGCTGTTTCTGGGGAAGGTGTCAGAACTCTGAAGCATGCCATGAATCTGTCGGTGCTGGAAGTACTGAAGGATTACAAGAAGTATTGACACGCTGCTCTCTTTCTGCAGATAATAGAAGGGAAGACAAAGGCTGTCTTTATAATGGATGACCCCGCAGGCAACAGCTATCTTCAGGTATGGTGGCATGCAGTCAGACTTGAAGTATTCTGAGCAGCTTGAGTGTGTTTTCTTTGTGTCCTTGATGTGTGTTGGCTGTCAGGGTTTGTTTCTGGCTGCAGTGCTGAGTGGGTTCCTGTAGGCTCTGCCCAGGAGGAGAAAACTGCTTGTGGCTTTGTGGGAAGGGAGGTGGGAGCAGTGTCAGCTCTGTGATATCAGGGAGTCTGGTTGTCCTGTCTGGACTGAATGATGGGGTCTGTGGCGTGAAGGTTTTATCCTCAGTGCTGGGGTTGGATTTAAATCCTGCCTGCAGCTCTGCAGCGCTGCTGAAGCATTTGTAGCCTGAGGCTCGGGCACGGTGTGCAGGAAGCTTTTCTCTCCCTGCAGAACGTGTACGCCCCAGAGGAGGACCCGGAGCTGAAGGTGGAGCACTACGAACGCACGTTTGAGCAGAATGAAGACCTGGGCCTCAACGACATGAAGACTGAGGGCTATGAGACAGCGCCGGCCTCGGGCCGGTAGCAGCACGGTGCAAAGCAGCCCCTCCATGCTCTGAGGAGCAGAACTTGTTCCTTCCCGTGCTGCTGGCAGCGGCTTGCAGGCCTGAAGAGCAAGAACTTCCCGGTGGGGGGCAGTTTGGGGGGGTTATTTAAAAGCTGTTTGTGCGGCTTCTGGATTGCGGGGCTGCGGGCGCTGTGCTGGACGCCAATAAAGCCATCCTCAGCATGCGGGCGCGTGCGGGTAGAGCTGGAAGCCCCGCCCCTCGACGTTGCCCCGCCCAGTTCTGCGAAGCCACGCCCATTATCCCGCGCCTCTTTTCGCGAGGCCCCGTCTATCGCTACGCGCCACAACTCAGCGGAAGTCCCGCCCGCCTGGGCCTTTTTGCTGCTCTTCGCTTCCGGTCGCGGTGCCATGGCCGCGCCGGGTATCTCCAAAGCGCAGTACCTGCAGCGCTACCTCAGCGGCCCTCCCGCCGCTCAGCCCCGCCGCCGCCGCAAGAAGAAGCCGCCGAGCGGCTCCGGCAGAGCTGGGTGAGTGCGGGCGGCACGGCCCGAGCGGGTCACGGCCTCCCCTGGGGCCTCCCATCTCCTTCCCCCATTCCGGCGCGGCTTGCGGGCCTCGGTCGGGCGATCCGCTGATGGCGGCCCTCTGTCCGCACTCAGGATGCGGATCGTAGATGACGACGTGGGCTGGAGCAGCATCGCCGCTGTGCCTGAGAAGGAAGAGGAGGAGGACGAAAGCGACGTGCCCGTGGTGAGGAGCTGGGCCGGGGGCCGTTATGGAGCCATTACGATTGAACCGTTTACAAACAGCGAAAGCGGGAGGCTGGGCGTGCGTGATGGCCGTAAGAGCCTTAAAACGGCCAGGCGGGGTGAGGCAGAGTGAGGAACGGCTGTAGAATGTGCTGGGTCCTGGCTGGGAATGTAGGAAGGGAAGAGAGAGAGAGGCTGCAAGCAAAACCCTTGGATCCGTTCTTTCTAGTGCGGGAATAGTTGCCGAGTCTCTGGAGGTGTTCAAGGCCAGGTTGGATGGGGCCCTGGACAGCCTGGGCTGCTATGAAATGTGGAGGTTGGTGGCCTTGCTTGTGGCAGAAGGGTTGGAGGTTGGTGACCCTTGAGGTCCCTTGCAGCCCAGGCCATTCTGTGATTCTATAGTAGCTGATCCTTTCATTCAAAGAACATAGGTCCTTTTATTTTTTTTAAGCTGTGTTGGTTGGTCTGTTCTCTTACCTTCAGGTGGCAGAGTTTATTGATGAGCGTCCAAATGAAGTGAAGCTCATGGAGGAGTTCCGAACAAACACTAAATGGAAGCTTTTAGGAGGTGAGGGTGGATCTTGCTGTTGTTTCTGCCTGAATTTTTGCAGTTCTAAACAGTGAAATCAGGAAATACAAGGAATTATAAAGAACGTTAATGATGATTGCTTACAGATTGCTTTTTTTGTTCAGACCAGAATGAAGACTCACAGAGCTCAGATATTTCAGCACCTGCCAAACCTACCACACGGTACGGATGTCCAGCTACAAGCTCTAGCATTGATTGATCCTTTTTTGTGCTTTCATCCATCTCGTTCTGCAGTCTCAAGGTCTGCAGCAAAGTGTGAGAAGTAGCTTCCATGAGGATCCCTTTTTTCCGTGCTGAATCCACTGTGGCTGGGGGAGAACTTCCAGCTAGCATTTTGTTTGTGTTTCTGTAAAGTCCATGAGCAATTATCCCGCAATCCTTTGTGATATCAGAGCAGTCGGAGTGATGACAGCCTCTAGATTTGTAACATAGTGAGGGCGGTTGTGTTACAATGTGCCTCTCTTCTGAGGTGATTGTATGGGATGTTCTGTGATCAGAACGAGTTTAGACTAAGATGGTGTGATGGGGTGTTATTTTGTGGGAAGGTGATTACTCGAGAACACAGAGTGGGTTTATAGTTTTGAATGTTACAAGGGTTAATGAAGGCTTGAAGTGATACAGTTAGAGCTTTTCTGTGATCGAAGTTATCTTGGAGTTCTGGGATCTGTTTTGGGCAATCTGAGGCTCAGTAATGCAGATCATTGACTTTTACCTTACTGGTAGCTCTAATGGTACCCTCTACTGGTACCTATTGGGATCAAATGGTAGATCCCGTTTGATATCTTTGTCTGTTCTGAAGATGAGAAATGGAAATGAATAAGCTAACTTATTTGAAGCTTCTCCTCCTTTCTTAGGCAACAACGTCATGACTCCCCAGATTTGTCCCCTCCCAGACAAGAGAGAAATGATTCCCCCAAACTCTTACCTTGCAAGCAACGACAGGGCGACTCCCCAGGCCTGTCACCTCCCCGGAGGAAGCGCCACGATTCCCCAGATCTCTCACCTCCCAGGAGGAAGCGCCACGACTCCCCAGACCTCTCACCTCCCCGGAGGAAGCGCCACGACTCCCCAGACCTCTCACCTCCCAGGAGGAAGCGCCATGACTCCCCAGACCTCTCACCTCCCCGGAGGAAGCGCCACGACTCCCCAGACCTCTCACCTCCCCGGAGGAAGCGCCACGACTCCCCAGACCTCTCACCTCCCCGGAGGAAGCGCCACGACTCCCCAGACCTCTCACCTCCCAGGAGGAAGCGCCACGACTCCCCAGACCTCTCACCTCCCCGGAGGAAGCGCCACGACTCCCCAGACCTCTCACCTCCCAGGAGGAAGCGCCACGACTCCCCAGACCCGTCCCCACCAAAACGGCAGCGCCACGACTCCCCAGATCTCTCTCCTGAAAGAGTCAGTTCAGCAATGGGAAAAAAAGGCTGTCAAGTGTCAGGTAAGTCACTGCTGGGAGAGATCCAAGGAGAGCAGCTTCATTTTGGGCACAGCTCCTCTGACAAGTCCTTGTCACATCAGTAGCAGCAGGCTGCTCCAGATCTGTCCCCTCAGTGTAAGAGGAGGTATGATTCTGACCCAGATTCATCACTGCCTCTGAGAAAGGGCTGGGTCACCAGGTCAGAAAAAGCCGAGTAGAACAAAAGGTGAGTGTGTGTAAGGATGTATAGTCCAAAAGCGTGGAATTGTAGTGGATTGGTTATCACTTCTATTGGTAAAAATAGTTCTTGTAATGCTTTATTTAGTTAGAGAAGATTTGTCCTAAAAGTGGTCTGGGTAAGTCTTAAAAAGTTGTCCAAAATGAAAACAAAGTTTAAGCCTTGTCTCCAGGTTCAGAGGAATAGAATTTCAAGGCTGATGTCGCATGCTTGTTCTTCAGTCTGTCATCGTTTAAGGTTTTGATTTGTCTGTGGGTTATCTCATATATCCCCACGTTTGGGTCTCTAATGGTTCTTAATGCATATTTGTGTTGCAGATGCTTCCCGCGTAGAAAAGCTCCGTCGTGACTCTGATTCTCCACCTCCACGAAGGGGGACCCAAAATGCCTCTGAGGCAGACCTTTCCCCCCAGCGGAAGAATCACAGGTCAGGTCTATTCCACAATGATTCCCATAAGCGTGGTCCTCTTCAACATGTTCAGAGCGAGTCTTCATGCTCCAGTTTTCTCTCTTCCACAAAGGGCTCTGCCTTCTGGAAAGGGTCAGCGTGGTTCAAGGAGTCCCCCTGATCTCTCACGTCATCGGTACCCTGACGATAAGGGATCTCCCAAAAAGGTAAGAGTTTTGTCTTTCTGTCTGAGCTGTAATTGCTTCCTTTGATAGAAGTCTTTAAAAGCGTGAATGGCTTACAGATGGTAGAGCAGAAATATAGCTTGTAAATGCAGCTGTGCCAGTCTGTCGATTTGCAACAAGACAAAGTGTGAGGTAGGTGAAAGATGAGCTCTGACTCAGTCCTCTGCCTTTCTGGAGGTCTGTGGAAACTGTTCCCAAAGATGGCATCAAAGTGGTTTTGGAACACGGCTGTTTCTCCTGAAACTTCCCCTTGTTATACCAGTAGGTCACTGGACGGCTCTCAGCCAGCAGCAAATGTGATTCTTGTTTGATTTGCAGACCAAAATGATGTCTGGGGTCAAAGCCGGCTTGGTGTCAGCTGATGTGCTGCGGAAAGAGCAGCAGGAGCTCAGGAAGCAGGAGAGAAGTAGCAAGCACTTGGAAGGTAAAGGTCTAAAACCACTGCACAAACATCAGCTTTTTCTCTGCTTTTGGCTGCCTATTAATGCTATATCAGGCCTTGTCTTAGAGGGTTGGTTGTTAGGGTGTTGATGGAGAACATCCCTGTTGCTTGGCATCTAGGCATGCTGATGAATTCACATAGGTAAGGCCACTGGGTCTCTAAAATAAAATTTGAGTGGCAATTTCAAAGAAGGGCCAATGAAACAACTGTGAGGCTTTTGCTCCATCTGCAAGTCCTGAAGGAGCAGACCGTTACTCCAAGAGCTGATTGCATGAGTCAGTCATTGAACGGTCTGGAAACCATTCCAACGTGAGTGACTTAAGGTATCTGTTACTCCCAGAGGAATCCCGACACACAGAAACCATCTTCCGTGACAAGTCAGGCCGCAAGAGGGACCTTGAGCAGGAACGGCTTGAACAGAAGCAGAAAGATGCAGCAAAGTCAGAGCGAGATGAACAATATGCCAGATGGGGAAAGGGGTAAGGTGATTTTGGTGACATGCCACTTTGCAGGGTTGGGGCCTGAGGGTTGGTATTGTGCCTGGGACCGGGTTATTTTGTGTGGATTTACCCTGTTTGTTGGTGGGTGCTTATCAGAAATGCTGCACGCAGTGGACTGTGGTCAGTACTGCAAATTGAGCAGCTCACAGTAAATGATTCTGTAGTTTTGAGGTGAAGCTTTGTTTGTGTGTCTGTTTTCAGGTTAGCGCAAGGGAGGCAACAGCAGCAGAATGTGGAAGATGCAATAAAAGAGATGCAAAAGCCTTTGGCCCGTTACATCGATGATGAGGATCTGGATCGAATGCTGCGAGAACAAGAGAGGGAAGGAGACCCAATGGCTGAGTTCATCAAAAAAAGGAAAGCCAAAGAGAACAAGGAAAAAGGTGTGGATATGGAATGTGCTGGTGTGCGTTTTAAAGCCCAGGGAGCATAGAAATGCAGCTGCTGTTCAGTGAAGAACTTTAGGTCACCGTGGCTGCTGAGTCCTGAAGGACTCCTAGTCTAGCTTTAGTGCCACAGCAACATCTTCTCTTATTGACCCGTTAGCAGTTTCTGTTGCTATTATTCAGTAGGTTAGAGTGCAGTATGTGGTGACATAGGCAGTGAGCACACTGCGGTTTGTTTGAAGGTATTGCTGGGAGTTTCCTCTGTGAGCTCTTTGGCTCTTAGGCAGCCGGTGTTTGTGTCTGAGTAAACCTTCCAGGTTGGTGGGAATGTGCTCAGAAGATTGCACTGAAGTAACAAGTGGTTGTATTGCTGTTTCTGTCTCTAGAAAAACCTAAGTACAGTGGACCAGCACCTCCCCTCAACAGATTTAACATATGGCCTGGGCATCGCTGGGATGGGGTGGACAGGTGGGTATTCCTGGTACACTGATATCACTGAATGGTAGTACAACTAAATGGTAATACAGCTTGCTTCAGAGAGTTTACAGTGAGTGAGATTGAACACATTCAGCCTTTACCATGCTAACAGTTACAAATGGGTGGTGGAGACATTCTTGTCTGGGACAGAAGGGAGCCAAGTTCTAATCTGATTTGTTGTGGCTCATGGGAGGCACAATCTGCTGTTAGCCACAGATTGGGGTGGAAACTGGGCTGGAGGTGGTGGTGCAAAAGTAGAGGAAAACTTGTGATGTCATTCAAAAGCTTTGTGACTTTAGAAATGTGCATAGTAGCCCACGGTCTTACTGGTCTCACTTTGTAGGTCCAACGGATTTGAGAAGCAGTTCTTTGCCAGGATGGCCGACAGGAAGGCAGTTCAGGAGCTTGCATACAAGTGGAGCATTGAAGACATGTAGAAAGAAGAAATAACCATGTGAGACAACGTGCCTGAATTGAGATTTGCTTGCTACCACTGCCAGAGCCATAAGTAATGGCTCCTCTGCCTGGATCAAGCGCTGTCCTCGGCATTCAGTATCCTAGAAAACGGGTTGGTAGGCCTGGAGAGCAAGGAGCTCCTGGTGGGGGGCAGTTTGGGGGTTATTTAAAAGCTGTTTGTGCGGCTTCTGGATTGCGGGGCTGCGGGCGCTGTGCTGGACGCCAATAAAGCCATCTCAGCGTGCGGGCGCTGGCAGAGCTGGCAGCCCCGCCCTTCGGCGTGGCTCCTCCCTCTTCGACGAAGCCCCGCCCACCTCTTCCCCCTTCAGCGAGGCTCCGCCTATCACTTCGCGCCACAAACGGCGGAAGTCCCGCCCGCTTCCCCGCTCCCCTGCGCCGTTGCGCCGCCCTTCACTTCCGGTCGCGTTGCCATGGCCGCTCAGGGCGGTGTGGAGCCGCAGTCTCGTTGGTCTCGCTTTGTAGGTCGGTCGGATTCGAGCAGCAGATTCTTTGCCCGGATGGCTGACTAGAAGGCAACTCAGGAGCTTGCAAAGAAGTGAAACATTGAAGTTGAACATCTCAACTTATTTTAAAGGCTACAGTTTTATAATTTTAGATGTAGGTTCGGATGTTTATTATTTCCACGGGGGCCTCATAGCAGAGTTCGCTGCAGTACAGAATTTATAATGTGTATTAAAATTTTGTTACCAGACACCTTCTTGCTAAGATTTATCTGTGCAAAGAGATACAGGAGACTTTAGTTGGTGCTGTTGACACATAAAAATGCATCCTTTTGTATCATTGCCAGATGCAAGTTGGCAAATGCGGTGATGGCTGGTGTGGATAATAACGTATGGGCTTTGAAAAGGCTCTGCAGCTTCAGCAGGGACAGGGGAGCTGCCTCTCCATCTGCTGATGGATCAGGTGTGTCTGCAAACAGGCTGGGAGCTTGGCTGGGTTGGAGCACCTCCATCCCAGAGCTGCTTTGCCGTGTCCCACCAGCACCAGGAGAGTGGAGTGGGGTGCAGGGGTGGTGGCTCTGAGGGGACAGTAAGATCTGACACAAGTAAACAAGTGTGAATACTTCTGCCCTGTACCTCTCAGAGTGACTCCAAAGCCACTCTTTGCAAGTCTAGAGCTGGGCTCTCGTATCTCTTGTGACAACTGCAGGATCTGATGTGTGGGACATTGGTTTTGTGTGCAAGATATCCAACACACATCTGACTCGGGCAGTGAGAGGAGGAAAGCTGCCTGTGCTTTGCTGAGGGCTCCCACACCACAGGAGAGCGGTGAGGATGAGTGCTGCCTCCCCCCTCCAGGCCACGGCAGCCGGCAGAGGGTGCTGGCACACTGGGTTTGGCCGTGCCTGTGGCACAGAGGGGTGCCCCTGCCCAGGGCTGGATGCCCGAGGTGTGGGTGCAGCCGTGCTCAGCACTCCTGAGTGCTGCAGTACACGTGTGCTGGGGATGGAGGGGTATTTGGGGTGTGCTGCATATCCTAGAGCCCAACCTGAGTTCTGAGCACATGAGTTGGTCCATGTGTGTGCCTTCCTTCCCATGCTGACCCTATGCACGCGCATGTGTTGGCTAGGGAAGGGGGAGGATGGCTTGTCCCATTGCCCTTGCTCTGTGTCCTGCTTTGGCTCTGTTCTGCTGTCTGACATGGCTGTGTGTGAGCAGTTCTGGCAGCAGAGGAATTGGAAAAGGCTCTGGGATCTTGTGGGATGAGAGGGGTGATAGAGATGGAGTGAGTGGTGCTGGGAAGCGGATCTCTTGATTATTGTTTCTGGAAGGGCAACTGTGCCATTCTTGGCATCTTAACAGCAACTTTGATTAGCTTTAACCAAAAAGAAAAAAAAAAAAATTAAAATCTTAATTTAATTTAAAACACTGTCATTCATAGTCATGGCAAACACCAAGCAGAGTAATTATTATGCAAATGAGGCAGATAGAAAAAATGATTAATAATTGCACAAATTAAAAATTATTGTAAACATCCTGTGACGAGTGATAAGTCCGCGAGGAGTGCGTGCGCAGGAGGCAGCGTTGCTCTGCCAGCTCCTGCATCCTGATTTTCTCATTAGTGGGATTTAATTAGCAAATGATGCGGAGGAACTGAGCAGCGTTTTGGGGCGGGTTGGGGGTCGCTGCACCCGGTGTGTGGTTCCAGGTGACGGCAGAGAGATGCTGGGATGCAGACTGAGCTTTGCATTCAGCTCCATCCCAACAACTGTGGCTTTTAAGGTGTCTGGGCAGGGAGAAGGGGGACCTACAGCTGCTGGCTGGGGTTGGCAGTGCTGTGTTGTCCCCATATGCACCCTGCTTGTGCTCGTGCCACCCAGCCCCTGCTCTCTGCCATCCCCAGGTCCTGGGCTCCGAGCTGCCCCAGCAGCAGGCTTCACCCCTGACCAGCCCCCGAATGGGCAGTTGCTAATTACTGGGAGAGTTTGCTCCCTCCAAGAATTAATGAGCTTATTTGTCTGGCATTTTGCTGCTAATTGCATAACATTATTTTTTTCCCCCTGTTCGACTGTTTTGCTTTTATACTTTTGACAGTGAGCACGATAATAATAATAATAGGCTTACACTGGCTAATAGGCTTACGTGGTGCATTATTCATGTCAAGGACAAGCAATTAAGCTTGGCCTCACACATAATAATTAGATTTTTGTTGATGAGCTCATCAGTAATGTGTTTAGTCAAGATTAAGAGCTTAATTCCTGGTGGGTGACATCACCTGCCCCCCGTGACCCCTGGCCATGGTGTGGGGTGCAGGAGGACCGCGGTGCTGGATGAGCAGGGCAGCTTTGTGGAGGGCAGTGAGATGTGTGTCTGTCCGTGTTTCGCACCAGGAAACAGATGGAAGTGGTTTCTCTGAAATGCTGTGATTTCCTGCCTGGTTCCCAACGAATGCTGCTTCCCTGAGCCCTGCAGGGCTCAGCATGGATGGATGGATGGAAATGCGCCTTCCTCTGACTACCAGGCTATTTCCCCCCCCCTCTTTTTTTCTTAAATAGCTCTGCTAAAGTGGGTTCTGGCAGGTGACACGTTATTGTAACTCTTCCCTGCTGTGATCTCCTATTATTTTTTTAATTAAAAAGAGCCCCAGATTTGTCATTTTAATTTTGCTCTAAATGGCAGCAGCTCTGAGTGGCGGGCGCTTGGTGAAGGCTGGAGGCCGTGTGAGTCACCCTGAGCTGCTGGGACAGCCAAGAGATGGAACTGGAGGATGGGACTGAGCAATAGGGCTGGTGTGGGACCCCCTATGGAGCCCTCCATGGGGCCCTCTGGGCTCCAGCCTCACACTTTTCCCCTGTGCCTGTGAGTCTGTGGCAGCTGGCAGCGGTGCCAGGAGCACAGACCCAATAAGGCTGCCAGGTTAGTGATCGTATATGCACATGTGCACTTTTCTTAATTGTGGAATAATTAGGGGCACGCAGAGATAAAAATTACTAATAATATTTACTCTAGACTCTCTTTTTTTTCTTTTTTTTAATAACCCCCTCTCTCTTGCTTCGTTCTCTGAGTCTTGGTGGAAATAACTTTGCAGATCCCAGTTAATGAATATTTGTAAATGCAAGAACATTCAGCGCTGGAATATCCAGAGGGCATCCTCTCTCCTCCTTGTAATTCTTTTATTATATTTTTTTTTTTTTCAGGAGATATTTAATATTTATGGTTCCATATCCTTGTGAATAAAAGGAGCCACCCGCAAACCCCGAGGAGCAGCGAGGCTGCGAATATTTATGGTGCTTCCTTTTCTCCCTTTTCAATTACAAAGACACCTCGCATAATGAAGCGCTAATAACCTTGTTAATCTAGGATTGATACTCTTTCTCCTGGCCGTCTCTTAATAGAATTAAAAACAGATTAATAATCAACGGGAGGCTGTGTGTGATGAAGGGAAAAGGATGGGGCGTGGTGTCCCAGGTTTGGGATGTGGGCATGGGGTGAAGCTGGCAGTGCTCTGCCAAGGGGGGGAGGTGAGTTTTCCCTCCTCTTTACACAGCTTAAATTTTTAAGACAAACAGCCGTGTAACGCCATCTCCTAATGAAACTGTTTTATGTTAATTAATTATGTATCAGGGCTCATTTTCATGCGCAGCCTGGCTCTGCTTCCCCTCTGCCGAGCCTTTGATCTGTCAGAGGCTAAACGGGAGATAAATAATCAAATTAAAAAGCAGTCTGGATGGCAATAAACACATTTAAGCTGTGTTATTTGGTGGTTGGTGCGGGGTTCTGAGTTCAGCTGCTCTGTGGGCTCCTCCTGTGCCTCGGTTTTCCTGCAGTGTCCCCCTGCCACCATCTGGCACCCAGTCTTACATCTTGTAATTGGAGAGTGCTTTATGGCCTTAAAGAAGTCATAATGTTTGAGCCTGCCTGCGATTACCAGCTCACAGGTTTCTTCTTTAAGGGCTCTGAGCAGAGAGGGGTGCATGGGTAGCAAAACCCACATCTTGCTGTGCAATCAAAGGGAGCACGGAGAGCACTGTGCCCTCCAGGCTGGCTGCAGGCCCTGCTTTTGGGCTTCTGAAGGCTTTTCTGTGCTGCATCGGTTCTTATTAATCCACGCATTGGAGCTGGCTTAGGGGGCAGCACGCCGTGGGCATCGGATGGGCTTTTAGCTTGGCAAAACCCAACACGACCTCTGTTTCTCCAGACTCAACCAGATGGCAGCCAAGCTCCAAAAAGAAGACGGGAGGTGGCTCTCACACGAGGTGGCGTCCATTTGCAGCAAGATCTCTGCCTCCACCCAAGTGCAAAAGGAGAAGGGAAGGTGCTGTATATGATGCGTGCAAAGGCGTCGTGCTGGAGGGCTGTGCTGAGAGCTGATCAGCTCACTGCATTTTTAACGTGGCACAGGAAATCTTTATGGTTTTTTTTTTTTGTCAGTCTCATTCTTCTCCCCGTTCCCTCTGTAGGGGGGCTGAATTATTTAATGCTGGATATGAAGCAGAGCTGTTTTCCCTCTGCCGGGCTGCTGACGGTGCGTTTTGGCCCAGGAAGATTGGCAGATGGCTGTTCTCTGGGGCGGGTGCAGGGGGAACCCGTAATACCAAGCAAATTACCCACTTACAGCCAGATTTACAGAATCACTGAGATCCCACTTAAAGGCATCTCAATAAATAGGCCAGATTCGCTCGTGCGTGCAGCACCCAGCGGCTCGAAGATGCACCCTGACAGAGCGCTCCCAGCCTCTCTGTGTGGAGTTTCTTCCTTTCCTTTGCATGCAGCAGCAAAATCTGCTCCTCTCACATCGTGCCTGGTGGCCTCCTGGGATGGAGTGATGGCATCGGAAGGGCTCCAAATTGGAGCACGTGGGGTGATGCGTGGACTCAGCCTCTAGTTGGGTATCACCAAACGTGTGTTGATGGGGCCACGATGGTGATCACACAACAGGTGAATCAACACGGAGGGCTGCTCTGCGTATCAGGGTTTATCTTCTCCATTAATGGCTTTCTAAATTGGTGGCAGTGGAGCAAAAAAACCCAATTTGAACTCAGAGCATGCATGATTACTATTGTAATAACCTTGGCTAATAAGAATATGATGTGGTGTTAGGCTAGGAAAGAAAACACATTTCTCATTAGCTTTTTGATTAATTACTCCACATAATTTCCTAGGGGGACAAGCCTGGGACTGATTGCCTTTGCTTTTGACGTGCGGAAGTGGTTTACCTTAATAATTTTCTCAGTGACATTTTAATGGCAGCCCTCAGTTCAGCTCTGGTTGGCTGCAGGCTGTGCTCCCGCTCTGGGCATGGGGTGGTGCTCTCTCCCAGCCCTATATGGCCCCATATGGCCTGGCTGGGGCTCAGCAGAGGCGTTTTGCTGTAGTACCTGGGAGTCTGACAGCTGTGGTGCCATGTGAGCAGTGCCAGGAATCCAGCTGCTGGAAGGCTTATGTTTACATACAGAAGCGACTGCTTTCCTTCTGTGCCTTATAATGCAAATATGTGACAGGAGTGAAGTATTGGGTAGTTGGGTGATGTTGCCACGTGGGGTGGCATTGAACTGGGGTTGGAAGGAGGGGAAAAGCTGGATTTCTCCATCATAGCATCATACAGAACATTGATATCTTCTTGTTGTGGCAGGTGATGCTTTATCATAGGGAGTGTGATGGGGGGCATGAGCAGTGCTGGGCCATGGCCCCACGTGTCCCACACTGAGATGTGCTGCAAACCAAAGTGACCTGCCTTGGCTGGAGGCTTTTACATCGTAATTAAAACATTGGCGAGTCCATACAAATTTGCACTAACTGAAATGTCAGGGTAATTCTCACCCTGCTGCCATGACATTTCTGGGGGCATTGTCTGAGAGTGGATGGCATGCTGCTGGGCGCTGCCTTCCCTCAGTCTTATTGAGCTTTGTGTTACTTTGGTGCTCCCCAGGACCTTTATTCCAGAGCTCATCCACACCTGGGGGCTCGCAGAACTAAAAGTAGGGCCTGGCTTTGCTGGGAGCCTGCCAAGCAAAAGGGCAGAGATGCAGAGAACAGCCTCTAAATGGAAACTGGAGCACAGCATCCTCTGAGCACAGGTGAGGGGCAGGCAGGGGCCCAACAGAGGATGTGCTGAGAGCAGGAGGAGGGCAAAGGCTCCCTGTGGGCACAGGGGGTCGGGGCAGTGTCACACCTCAGCACGGCAGAGTTGCTGGCTGGGTGCAGGGAGCGTGAGCGGCGGCGATATTTATGTTTCCGCCTAAAAGCCTGGATCAAAGCAGACACTTTAATCTACTCAACAACAACTCAAGGATTAAAAAGTTGCAGGCAAATCACAGCCCTAAATTGGTAATATATTTTTGCTTGTCAGTTGACAAATCATTCTGTAAATCCGTTCTGCAGCTTTCTGTATTCCCTGTAGCAGGAAGGGATTTGCCAACCCCGACCGCTGTCTCTCAGGAGGTGGCACACAGGAGGGCACTGCTTTCCCACTGGGACCAGTTCTGTTTGTTCCCACTGACTGCTTGGTTAGGGAGCAGCATGCCAGGGCCGTTCCCTCCTTATATCTTCTCTGTTGCTCCAGTTGTTGTTTCTTTCCACCATGCACATCCCTCTCCCCGCTGCAGTTAGGGGCTGGTTGCATGCTGGGGACACTGCTGCCCCATCCCCTCTCGAAACCACTGCGACTTTTATTTGCCAGAATGTTTCATTTTCAAACAAAGTAATTACTAATTAATTGGCGAGGAGCTTTATTTCTAATCCCTCAGCTCCTAGGAGGGAAATCTGGCTGTTTTCTGGCTGGACGTCTGTGGCGGTGCTTGATGGCTGCACCATCTGGTGGGCTGGAAATAATTAGCAGGTGTCCGATGTGGAAGCAGGTAATTGCTGATGGAGAAATCTGTGTATTTCTGCATATGTTTGTGGAAGGAGCGGCCCTGCCGGGCTGCATGAGGCAGGGATACAGGCTGCGGGGTGGGCTGACGGCCGCTGGCTGCATCCAGGGAGCGCTAACGTTTGAGCTGGATTTAGGGCTTGGTGCAGCAAAGCTGCTGTTATCTCCGAGGGGTCCTTTGGATAAACACAGTGGCTTGGTGCTAAAGCCTCTGCCCGCTGCAGCGAACTGCTCTGCATGAGCATCCCCCACTTTGTCCTCCCCCGTTTTCATCCTTCCCCAAATCCCTCCTGGAGCTGGGAAGGGGAGGAGGCACTGACTCAAAGGGGCTTCTCCTTATTGGCTTCTTTTTGTTAGGATTCTTCTCTCTCTCTTCTGGCCAGTGCCAGGCGAGTTGATGAATTAGCCCAATATATATTCTGTCTGGGAAGAAAACACATATCATATATATCTTTGACAAGTTATTATTCTTCCTTATCAGAATATGTGTGCATCTCGCCATGCTATAACTCACCCTGCGCGTCGCTTGTGGGATGAGACAGGAGGAGCACGGCAGGTTCTGAAAGCTCCTCAGCGTGGTCTGAAAGTGTCTGTGTGCTCTGAGCAGGATGAGCCCTTCTGATCACAGAATGGTTTGAGTTGGAAGGGACATTTACAGGCCATCTGGTGCTGCTCCCTGCAGTGCACAGGGACACCCGCAGCTCCAGCAGTGCTCAGAGCCCCGTCCAGCCTGACCTTGGCTGTCTCCAGGCTGTTGCTGTTTGCTCATGTTGCACAAATCAGGGATGCTGGGATGGGGGCTCATCGTCCCCAGGAGAGGAGCAGCTTCCTGCACCCAACGTGTTGGACAGGAGCTGGGGAGCACCAGCAGCATCCCTGCCAGGATGGGCACATCTGGAAGGCAGAAAGTCTCTCCTGCTCCCCAGCCCTGCTGCAATGGCTTTAATGTTTAACTTATTAAGATAATAGCTGTTCCATCTGTGACGGTTTGAAACATGATCTAACAGGAATCTTCTAACAAAAGTTGCTAAGCAGCTCTGACATGATTTACTAATAGACTCCGAATGTGCTGTAACTGAGATGGAAATTAATTTAGTGATTGGGAGATTGATATATAGAGTAGAGCACATCCTGGTTTTTAAAGGCTAGGAGGAACTGTTGGGATAGAAATCTCTAGTGGCTCCTACGGAAGAGGTACCAGCCCTGTGTGATCTGAGCACATCTGCCCAAACGTGTGAGGTCTGCAGGGTGGAGGGGTGCAGGGGACCTCTGGGCAGGTCTCATACTGCATTTTGGGATGATGATGTAGGGGGATAATAGAATCGGGATGGTTTGAGTTGGAAGGGAGCTGAAGGCCGCCTGGTGCCGCTCCGTGCAGCGCACAGGGACACCCACAGCTCAGCAGTGCTCACAGCCCCGTCCAGCCTGACCTTGGCTGACTGCAGGGACGGGGCACCACCGCCTCTCTGGGCAACCTGTGCCAATGCCTCACCTCCCCCAAATGCCAAACCTTCCTCAGCTCCAGTCTCCCTCTCCCCTCTTGTAGTCTGAAGCCCTTTTCCCTAGTCCTGTCACACAGATCCCACCAAAAGTTTGCCTCCTTCCTCCATACAACCCCTCTTCAGGTACTGAAAGGGGATTGCTGATTTATCACACTGAATGCCATACCATCCTAATGCATTTGTTAGCATTGTTTTGCTTTTGCTGCCACCTGAGCATGATAACTGGGGGAAAACACACCCAGCAGCCTCTCCTACCTGACTGCATTCAGGGCAGAGGCAGCACTGGGACCGTATAACTGAAGGGAAACACGTGGGGTTTGGAGCCTGCCTCTTTTTATTTGTGTTGATTCCTTTTAACAGCAGCTGTGCATCCATATTTATTGAGGGGAAGGGAAGAAAAACCTCCCATGCTCCCAGGAAAGCAGAACATCTTGTAATTATCTCGCTAGCTTGGCTAGCACAGGCAAACACCGGCTCCCGCGAGTGGATGCTGACCATGAGCACCGCTCTAATTTCCCAGATCTGGGTCATTAGGGAGGGCAAACAGGATGGATCTGATGTTGAACACGCTCTGAACATTAATGGGATGAAAGGAGCTGGCGGACAACTGTCTCTCCTGGGAGGAGCGGGGTGGGAGCTGATTGCTGCCCTCCTTTCCAGCCCAGCGCTTGGCACTGGGCAGTGAGGTGCTCAGTGCATGGCATTGGCTCAGCCGTGGGCACAGGGCAGCCCCCAGAGCCCCTGAGGATGTACCCCAAGGTGGTACCTCCTGTCAGCAGAACTTGAGCTCTTAAAGCTGCCGCTAAGATCTCTGACAGAGGGCAGGAGTGCAAGATGAAGAGGAGCGTGCATTTATGTTTCTTTTCCCTTCTTTTTTCCTTTCCCAGCCATCTCCTTGCAAGGAAAAAACATAAAGCTCCTGGGCATCTGTGCTTCACTTCTCCCTTCCCTGCAGGTCCATCAGTATGCAGTGCCCGTTACCTCGATGAAGGACCCACGCTGCCTTTGTGCAGTCAAGGTTACCTCCACGCTGAGCTCTGCAGCAGCCTCGTGGTGCTCACACCCAGCTCACCGCCCGCTCTCCCAGCCCCAAGACCCTCCCGTGCCCAGCAGAACCTCTGCCACATATCTCTGCTTTCCTAACAGCCCTTGGAAGCCACACACCCATCTGCCAGGTGGGTTTTTCAGCAGCAAATCCTGCTCCAAAGAGAGGGTTTGGGCGAATGGGAAGTGGCAGGCGGACCCACTCATGCAATCGCATGGGCTGCCAGACACACCTGCTCCCAGCGCCGTAATGAAGGCAAATATTTAGAGAATGGCAGAGTCCAAATTGCTCAGCGTTTCACTCGGAATCAACAGCCTTTCGGAGGCTGGGATTAATTTGAAGGAATTTACTGGTGGAGTTGGTGGCAGATAAAACAGTTTGCTTATTTCACACTTGTATGGCCACCTGCTACGAACTGTTTGTTCAGTTTCAAATTCTTTAATTAAAATCAACATAAAGCAGATTGAAAACATCCCAAGAAGGGGATGCTTGATTTGCTGGAGGATATTGCAGAAGACATGCCAAAGCACTGCCAAGGCGCCTTACCCATCGGAGCCCCGGCATGTGCTGGCCGTGGGCACAGTTTGCCACGGTTTCCAGCCCTGCCAGTGATACTCGGGCACCTGTGCTCCCTGCCCCTCATTCCAGGGCACCATTTATCCACATTTCTTCCTCCTTATGTCCTCCCTGCAAGGCAAGCCCTGCGCACTCGGTGCACGGCGGCGCGTTGGCCCCTTTGTGCGGCTGATTAGAGGCCCTCCTCCACCAAACATCAAAGCTTCAATTAACACAGGCCGCTTGCAACCCTCTTGCAGAACTCAGATAAGAATGGAATTTTCCCTTGGAAAATGGATTTGTATTTAGCTGCATGTGCTGTGCAGTAAATGACCTGCTCTGTGCGGTGGCAAAGAGGGTCCGGGGACAATTAGGGTGCTCATTGGGAACCGGTTATCTGAAGGAAACAGGCACACTGCTATTTAGCTGTCTAATATCCCAATGGGAGGGGAACCAAAATTAAAAACTATCTCTCTTTTCAGAGCCATTTGAATCTGAAGGAGGATTCCTTTTTTATTCGGTGCTTTTCACTCGAAGGTTTCTTTTTTTTTTTTCCCCTCTCTCTGATTCCCTTATTTGCGGGTGGCCGTTTGCAGATGAGAAGAATGGAGAGGGGAAGGAGGGCTGACCGTGCTGGGGGGCACAGCGCTGTGCTGGGGCTCTCAAGCATCCCCAAGGCTGCTTGGTGCTGGGACAGCAGGGCAGTGGGATGGCAGGACAGTGGGACAGCAGGATAGAAGCCCTCCTCAGCCCCACGGCCTTGGGCATCCCTCGGGGGGGTGGCAGAGTAGTAGGACAGAAGGACAGTGGGACAGCAGGGCAGTGGGGCAGCGGGGTGGCAGGACAGCAGGACCAGCAGGGCAGCGGACAGAGGGATGGTGGGACAGCAGAACAGCACAGCAATGGGACAGCGGGATGGCAGGGCAGTAGGACGGCAGGTTGGCAGGGCAGCGTGATAGCAGAACAGTGGAACAGTGGCAGGACAGCGAGATGGCAGATCAGGAGGACAGCAGGACAGAAGGGCAGTGGGACAGTGGGAGAGCAGGACAGCAGCCCTCCTCAGCCCCACAGCCTCAGGCATCCCTCAAGCACGTGGCTCCTCTGCACAGCAGCAGCATCTCAGCAGAGGATCCACTGATGCTTGGAGACACCGCCGGAGCCTCTCCATGTATTCATCAAAGCTCGTGCATCCCCCACTCCAATGCATGCGAAACAATAACAAACACGCAGTGCAGAAAGTTAATATGTAGCCAGACGAGCGTTTTAATAACTGGAAAGGTTAAAAAAAAAGCCCTCTCAGGCTCCATGTGGGCTCCTGCCAGCTCGCGTTCCTGAGAGTCTGGGAGACCCAGAGTACCATGACTGTATTGATTCAATTATTCTCTACAATGTAATACTCTGCATTTGTGTGATAGCAACAAACAGAGTTGAAAGACATACAAAAATAAATGATCTGAAAGTTAATATGGCTGAATGAGCAGCTCTGAATAAGAGGAGAGAGAGCTTTGGTTTTACATTGTAAAATCAATAGCGTGCAGAACAATGTCCTAACTTTCTCCAGGGACCCGGAGAGGACCCGCCTGAATCGATCACTATGCAAATTAATTGAATTCATGAAATCCACATTGCTGGGTAATTGATGCTTCTTATAATTACCTCCGAGTTATGAGCTTTTAGGGGATTTCATTGATTCCTGTGTAGAGAGAGGGGGCGGGCGGGGGAAGACGGTGGAGCATCCAGAGGTTCTGCAGCTGTTGGGAGGGGAGAAAGGCAGATGGGTTAAGGCTGATATCGGTCTGCCCCTGATTGATGGAGCAGAGCAGAGGTGACAAAGCTGTGGCCGCTATCTGAGTTTTCCTGTTTAAACAGCCACCAGTGCTGGGATTACTGCTTTCACCAGAGGAGAGGAAACACCGCGCGGCTGAAAGCAAAGGCGGTCAATCAGTAATGAGCACAAAGCTGTTGTCACGGATGCGTTTGGCTCGCCTCCGTGGGGCTGACCTCCTCCTCCCCACTGCAGGGTCTGACCTCATTGCTTTGCTAAGGGATGCCCGACCCCAGCTGTGTGCGCAGCCCTGCAGCACATCAGCCCCACGGGGGGCAGGGTGTGGGGCTGGGTGCTGTGCCACAGGTGTGTGGGGTTGGTTGTCAGCCTGGCTGGCGGATCGTGTGAGCGAGCAGGTTTTATCAGAAGGGATAACGGGCTTACGTGGCACATTGTTTAAGGAAAAGGGACGAGCAATTGAGCTCTGCAGACTAATTAGATTAAGTTGATGAGCTCATCAGTAATGTGTGTAATTAAGATCAAGAGCTAATTGGGGGCTGCTTGGTGCCCTACATTCGCTGGGCTGTCTTTGCGTGGCGCGCTGTGGTTGGGAAGCAGTGGGGTTCTCTGCAGATGGGTTGTCCCAGCTCCAGCTCTGGTTGAAATGGGTGGAAGCAGTGGTTTGGATGTTCAACCTTTTGGCCACACTGAGCAAAGGGGCCGCGTAGAGGTAGGTTGTACCAAAAGTAATACTTCCCATTTCTTTCCATTTCTTTCCCATTTCTTTCCCATTTCTTCAATACTTCCACTACAGCAGATACAAAGAGCACAGTGGCACAGTATGATGATTTCTCAGCCTCACGACACTGTTTTTCAACGCAGTCCCCACCATGAGTTCTGCATTTTTGTCAGCAATGAACAAGAGCCTGCATGATGTGCCCATCAGAATGTGCACCAGTGGAGTGACCCACTGCTGCCACTGCTGAAATGCATGCACCTCCCAGCCCTCACTGTGCTCAGATCCGTTGTTTGTCTCCAGAAACATTCACCAACCATTGACGGATGTCAGTGGGTGAGACTGAATTCCCAGAGGAATTCAATTCCACACCTTTGCTTCATCCTCACTTCCGTGTCAGACACCATTGTGTCAGACTGCCCCTCTGCTGCCATCTGTCACACAGCAACAACACGCAATGGATCTTGGTGGGAAGGTTCCACCTCTACTGCTGCACCATCAGCATGCAGCTCTGCTGTGGTGGGCTGACATCATAAAACAGGAGGCATTACTTTCAGAGCAGCCCTCATAGAATACATATATGAGTTCATGTATGTAAGTAACGAAACTGATGTTACTCTTCTGTGCTTCACCCTTGAGCGTTGTTGTTCCCATTGGTGTTCAGCCCATGCATGGCAGCACACACCGGTAGCAGCCATCACTGCAGTCAGAGCTGCCCTGCGCCCTCCCTGTGTCCTGAAAGCACAGCAGCAGCCCCACAGGGCAGTGGGAAGGGATGGCAGTGCTGGGATGCAAAGGGAATAAAAAGCAAGAGGGATGAGGCAGATGAGAAGAACCAAATCAAAACAAAACGGGAGAGCCCAAGTTCTGAAGGAAGTGCAGAAATGGCTTGTTCTGGAGGAATAGTACGTGGTGATGGTTAAGATTTATCAATATAGTCACAGTGCTTAACAAGACAGACAATCCTCGCTGTGTCGTGGCAGCTGCAGTGCCGGTGCAGCCTCTTTACAGCTTTTATCCTTGCTCTCTCGTATTTCATATCTGATCTTTTTTCTTCCCTCCTGCATCAACGTCTCCTCTCTCATTCCCTCTCTTTATTCTCCTGCATCGCTTCCTTTTTTCTCCCGCTATCTCATCTCCCTAACCCTCCTGCTCTCTCTTCACTAAATTGGCTCCGTGCAAAATCACTGCGTGCCTTTGCTTGGCTCTCCCTGACCCCTCTCCTGGCAGCTGTAGGGGAAGGGGCTCATGGTGATGTCCGCCCTGGCGCTGTGCTCCCCTCACCACTCATTTCCCCCCATCTCCAGGATTACCCAGACCAACTCCTATCCCTTCCTGAGCTTGCATGGCTTTGCATTTTGCTTTTTGCTTCTCTTTGCTGTGGGCTGGCTGCTGTCTGATAAAACCAGGCACAATATTGAGCTGATCTCATCCCGACGTTCTGGGACAAATGCCCACGGGGCACGTTCTATAGAACACCAATTACTTGCCGTTTGTCACAAACGCAAAGGCCTGCAGGTCCCAGAGCATCAGCGAGACTTACGCTCTGACCCGTGGGGCTCTTCGTAATGACGGCCTGCAGGGTGACAATGAGGGGACAAAAAAGCAAAAAAAAAGCAAAAAAAAAGCAAAACCCGTCCCAGATGCGCGATGAGCCCGAAGTGCAGCTCGCTTCTCTCCCGTCAGCAGCAGCGCGGCGCCGCAGCTCGCGTTCCCTGCTGCTCCGTGGCCTTTCCCGCAGCGCGGCCGGAAGGTGGCGCTGCTGCACCGGCGCGGGCTGCGGGGCCGCGAACCGCAACCGACGGGACGGACAGAGCCGCAACGCTCCGTGTGTGCAGCCCAGAGACTCGGGGGAGGGAGGAGGGGAGCTGAAAGGATGCATGGGGTGCGGGGCTGGCGGTGCCGCGGCTCCTTTCCCTCCGCACAGCTTGCAGCCGCTCTGCCCCAAGCCTGCGGCTCCGCCTGGGGTTGTTGTGGCTGAAACAGCCGGCACTCGGCTTCTTGAGCTCCGTCCCGTTGGCCTCAGCCCAGCCATCGGCCCGTCCAGCTCCCTCTGTAGGGCTGCCTGCCCTCGGGCACATCCACGCTTCCCCCCACGTGGAGCTGTCTGCAAACCTGCTGGGATGCACTCAGTGCCCTCATGCACATCATCAGTAAAGGCACTGAACAGGACGGCCCCAACGCCGACCCCTGGAGAGCAGCACAGTGACCAGCTGGATGTAACTGCATTCACCACCACTCTCTGGGCCCAGCCACCCAACCTGTCTTTACCCAGCAAAGAGTGCAGCTGTCCCAGTTGAGAGCTGCAGCTTCTCCAGGAGAAAACTATGGGAAACCATGTCACAAGCTTTGCTGTAGGCTACAGCAACAGCCTTTCCCTCACCCACCAGGTGGGTCACCTGGTCATGGAAGGAGATGAGGTACCCTGTGTTACCGTTGGAGGTGGTGGCATTGAGCCCCAAGTGCCACTGCTGGGGAGAGCCGTGTTCCTGCTCACCGCAGGCTCCAGGCAGTGGTCACAGTGCCCAAAGTCTGTCAGCAGTACAGGAAAAGGTTGAAACTTCCAGCTGCTATTTCCCAGAGGGCAAGCTCACAACAGAAAGGTCTTGGAACAGGAGAGATTTCTCTCTCTTGGCTTTTCTATTTTTTTTTTTTTTAAAGAGCTCTTTTGAAGGGGGTAGTTTGGAGTAAAGAAGAGTTTAGACAGATCTGATTCCCCTATCTCAGACAAACACACTCGCCTTTCCCTGACTGCAAATCAACAGGACATGTTCGAAGGAAAGATCATCGCGAAAGAAATGGATTTTCCCCCTACTGCTTTGCCATTTTTGCTTGTATTTCTGAAAGCTGGAGTGATGGGTTGTGAACTTTAAGGAGCGATTTCTATTCTTCTCTCTCGTCTGACATGTGGGCAGAGGGACTGCGAACCTGAATAACGAGACAGAACTTAAACACCTTGGGGGAGCGAGGCAGCATCCTCTCGCCTTTGAAAGCTGCTTTTACTTCCCAGCCTTGCAGCAGGAAATTGTGCTGTGGGCAGGAGACTGGGGCTGCAGAAACTGGGGCTGCAGGGACTGACAATCTCACCCATAATGGTTGGACTCGATGGTCTTTTCCAGCTTGAGTGGGCCCCACTCTGGGGCTGAGGCCGTGCACAGGTGGCATTAGGGTGGCTGTGGGAGCTGCTGAGCCCTGGGTGGGTGCAGTGCACCATAGGGTGCTCAGCGTGGGGAGACGAGCGCAGCTGCAGCTCAGGTTTCATCTGCTAATTGCAGTGAGCAATAAACACGCAGCAATCCAAGTGTTATAATGGCGACATTTAATTAATACCGAACAACTCCAGAGCTCATATGGATTTATCCATTAGATCCACATTAACATGAGATAATCTGATCGTGGTAATGTTAAGGCAACAAACACTAGAGGGTAGCGCAGGTGGGTGTGCAGCTCCATGTGGCCCTCAGTGCTGGGCACATGAAGGGCATGGAGGGAGCTGAGAGGGGGCACCGGCCTGCGTGGCATGGAGAGGGCTCTTGCTGTGCCTGTGCATGGCCTTATTCACCATTCTTTTGCTCTGCTGATGCAGTTCTTTACAGTCAAGTGAGGGATGGCGTGGATGAATTTGCAGCTCCCAGTCCCCAGGAGGGTGTGGGGTTGGGTGTCGTACCGGAGCAGGTGAGCTGGCAGCTATCTTTTCCTGCCTGGAAAGCAATGCTGATCACAGACAAAACAAACTGAGTCATGGGCTCATCAAAAGAGCTGCATCAACAGAGGGGTGGCAGCAGGGAGGAGAGGGAGGGGGTTGTGCCCCTCTGCTCTGCCCCTGGAAGGCCCCACCTGCAGTGCTGTGCCCAGGCCTGGGGCCCCCAGGACAGGAGGGATGCGGAGCTGCTGGAGTGGGTCCAGAGGAGGGCATGAGGATGCTCAGAGGGCTGGAGCACCTCTGCCGTGAAGAGAGGAGAA